GAGGCTACGCAGATATAGCGGGAGCTAGAGGCAAAGCCACGGCGGCCACTACACCCTGCAGCAACACAACCAAAATGGCAGACGCAGAGCGGGCCCCCGACAAAACTGAAGGCAACCCTGATCTCTCGACCAGGCAGGACAGGCTATTTAAACAATTTTGGCACAAGCTGGAGAGTAGGCAGCTCCAACCTGTCCGGAGCCAGCCGGGCGACCATACACGGCATACTTCAGCCGCAATCATACAGCAGAAGACCACAGCCGCAATGCCACATCGAGCCCCAACATGGCGGGAAACGGGCCCCACAGAGATGCACAACTACTCATCCACAAAAGGGTACAAGCTTACCTCGCCCCTACACGCGACCACGGACTGGATTGCTGCGACGATCAGAGGTACGGTGCAGTACCCCAGGCTTACCGAGAACTGCAACCCACCCGCCCGCACCTCGGTACCGCAGTCTGCGGTACACCTCCTTAAGCAAACCGCCTACAGCTATCAGGCTCACCACACCGGAGCGGAGCTCCGACCCCGCTGTCACAACGAAAACCGGCCTCTTACGAAACGGCTGGCCACAACATGTCGCCGACCAGATCCTTGCTGCCGGTCGGCGGGCCTCGAGAACTGGTGTGGGTTGATGGACTAGAGTGGACTGGCGGCATGTGTCCCACACCTGCTTTACACCGGCTGCCATACCTAATCCAGGACTGTCGAGGATTCTTTCTCCTGCAGATCAGCAAAGTTATCAGGGATTACCTATAGTAACTTGCTGACTCCAATGCCCAGTAACTTACCAGTCATGAGAGTATATTGCCTCTATCCTACCACTGGGCATGGCAACTCAGAGCTGCTAGTTATGTTCACCCGTATGACATGCACCCGATAAGTCTGATCTAAAATAGATACACACATTGCATGTTAGGCTCTACTTATGGTATTTATTGAATGTACGTTAACAGTTTAAGTTACAATATTTGTTGATATGTCTAAACCCTGGTTACTTTACCATAACGACGCCTACCAACCGCTAACTCTAAGGCACCTACTGTATGCAGCCGCCTAACCCACGCTAATACCCTAGTCTAACTTTGCCTGGACCACACTTCATTATTAAAAACGTGCCAATAAGCTACTGTTCCCCCACACGAACATAAAATGTGAGCTGTTCCTCATGACACATAATTGGTATAATCCACTAGATGTTTCGCTTAAATCTAACTACTTTTATCATTATTACGCTAAACCTGTTAGTAATACTATGGAACGCTTAATTAATATAAAATGAGGCTGTCTCTCATAGGAGATGTGGCATTTTGTAATCGTGCTCCCAATCTGTATGAAAAATGTACATCCCCTCCTCTTTATTCTGTACCCCATTTAACAAATACCTCAATAAAAGAAAGATTGGAAAAAAATAAAAAAATAATTTTTTAGGAAAGGCCGCGTGTGTGGCGTCGTCTCTGTTGTCGCTTAGATGTTTTGCCGAGGTGAGTAGTCATCTGGTGGGGGCCGGGATATCCCCCGCTCGCCCAGAGGGGGGGAGTACGGGGCACAGACTGATTGCTGGGCTGAATGCCCGGGTCACCCCCGACGTAGAAGCCGACTGCATCTCTCGCCGGCTTGGCACCAAGCCGCAAAAGAGTGGAGGTTGCAGCTGCTGTTGTGCACGGATGGAGCGGTGATAGTCCTCTTCAAGGTCGTTCCCGCGGTGCAGGTGTAGATTGTACATGTGGGTATAGTCTGTTTTGGGGTGTTTTACTCCCGTTAGAGTTCTTTTTCCCCGATATTAGGCAGGAGCTCAATCTGCCTGCGACCTGTCAGGATGGCGTCCAAGCCCCGCCCCTTCTGTTGTTTTTTGGGGGGTTTTTTGTGCTTGTTTTGATTTTTGATATTTACTGATGTTGAGGAATAAAAACAAATCATTTTTTTTCCAAATTATTTGCAGCCTTATTCTAACCTTGGCTTCTATTATGAAAGAGGAAAAAGACACATCCATAGGAGATTGATATATATGGTGACAAAAGCCTTCATGGTCTTAGTTAAGCAAGTCGTATGCATTCTGTAATAACCAATATTAAATAATGTGTACATCACAACATCACAGGATACAACTTAAATGCCCTAAGGTCGTGGTGAATTCTTTAATGAGGGTTAAGAACAAACATACCATTAAACAACATAAACTTTAAATAACATTAATAAAAATTACTCAAATCCCGACTTACCAAGCCGAACAACTTTCACTAAAAGAGAATAACCTAACCTCTCAATAATACACAACAGCGTAAAATAAATAAATTAGTTAATGGAAGAAGAAATATTAGCAAAAAGATAATTCATTTAAAACTTTTTCATGAAGGGAGGGTAGGCCCTGTGAACACATCCTTGCACGCTGGCTCTTCTTCAAAGTCCATCTAACATGGGCATGTTCTAACTATTGCACAGGCCTTTATATATTCATAATTCATGCCATTTGAGCCTTATGCTACACCCCACCAATCAGTTCATGCTCCCTCAACATTCCATAGTGTGAGCACATTATTCCTAAGCCAATTAAAATTCTTAAAAATTAAAATAGCTCTGCTAAGCAGCATGGACAAAATTGGATTTAATAAACTCTTTTACTGTCTTGCTCCCACAGTGCTGTATATGACGCTTATGACCTTATAGCCCACAGTACTACATGAGTTCTATATACAACAGTTGGGTTCAGATTAGGTACCAATGTATGTGGTTAAGCACTTGGAAGCCTTACTCTTGATCTTACTAGGAATAACATAGCTTTTAAGTAAAAAGTATGTATTTTGTAGCTGCAACGCCATTTAGTGGAAAGCAAGTTGTATAATAGTTTATGTGGCTAGTAGTCATGGAGGGATAAATACCACTTGGGGTGCAGCAATGGAGAAGTCAATTATTGGTGGCATTTACTGATGCCAACATTTTCTATGATGCTCTGCAAACTTTTTGACTGACAGAGATGTAGTAAAAAGGTTGCCATTCCTTGGAATAGTGGAATAGTGGTAGCCAGGCAATTATTGGAATAATTAATAAATGGTTTTAACAGTTGCATATGAAATGTGGTTATTGTAACAAAACATTTTTAGAAAAATAGTATAATTTGAATGATTTAAACTGTGAGATTAAAGAGAGAGTACATAAAGATGGAACTTCACTTTTAATAGATACAAAAGATTTAAATATGACAGAGAATAAATATGAGTTTAGTTTTAATACTCCATTTAAAGCCAGGGCTTTTGAGATCAACAGGATTTTAAAACAGTACTGGCCTTTGTAAATGTAAGATGTGTTCTTCGGTCCAGTATTACTAAAAGTACCTACCTTAAAGGACCACTATAGTGCCAGGAAAACATACTCGTTTTCCTGGGACTATAGTGCCCTGAGGGTGCCCCACCCTCAGGGTCCCCCTCCCGCCGGGCTCTGGGGAGAGGAAAGGGGTTAAAACTTACCTTTCTCCTTTCTTACAATGCTTTCCTATGGACGCTGGCGTCTTCTCTCTGTGATTTTCACAGTGATAATCACACAAGCGCCTCTAGCGGCTGTCAGTGAGACAGCCACTAGAGGATTTGAGGGCTGGATTAACCCATTTATAAACATAGCAGTTTCTCTGAAACTGCTATGTTTATAAAAAAAATTGACCTGGCACCCAGACCACTTCATTAAGCTGAAGTGGTCTGGGTGCCTAGAGTGGTCCTTTAATATTCAGGAAGACAAGGAATTTGAATATTTTTTTAGCTTAGCAGTTTTAGAAGAGTTTCAGTAGGTAGTTTTAAAACATGTGGAATGTGTAAGGAGTGTAAATATATCCTGAATCAAGTTAGTAATTTTGGCAGCTGACAAACAGGTGAATCTTTTTAAGAACTTTTATTCATTGCACTTCATCGTAATGGAAAATAGTTTCATACTTACCAATATTTGTTTGTTCCCAGTAATGGGCCGTGGCAGCACTACTCTAGGGTTAGCTCCACCCATCACTCCCATTGGACAGGACAAAATTTTAGTCAATAAATGGCCACATGAACCATAATTCTCCAGTTCATAGCAACTTAATGACCAGGGATGGATGTATAGTACTGTCATGGCCCTTTATCAGAAATGAAAATAGCAGTAAGTATGAAACAATTCCTATTTTCACGGCCAGACTAATATAGGGCAATAAAAGGAAACAATGTGTATACAGGCGCTTAACAATTATTGTAGTGGGAAAGTTAGTGCTGCTACCACCAACGTGCAAACCTCTCACAACTTGACACAGAATACCATATAGAGAGTGAAAGGGATGGTAAAAAAAACCAAAACCAATCTATAGGTGGAGCGCTCTAAGTGAATAAACTCACCCCACTCTTGTCTATGTAAAATGACCTATACGTGAGGATAAAATGGACAATAATATGGTGTAGTATATTGTAAATATTGTTGAAATTAATAGTGGAGAAAATAGAACCACTCACATGGTTCTGAGCCTTAACAGGACAGGCTCAGATCTCTCAAGCTGGCGTGTTTTAGGGTCACACGGAACCTATATGCAGGCAGGGAACTCTTGATACCTTCAATGGATGGAAACCAAAATATAGTGCAGTATATCAGCATAAATGTGATTACCAAGAAGTTGAAAATTGCTCACCTGGTTCAGAGCCTAAATCCTGGCTCTGAATATATAACTTTATGTGTCAAAAAGGGGACACAAAACCCTTTAGGATAAATAGCAGGAACACAGGATACTGGAGTTAACGATGGATTGTAGGAAAAACAATTTATTGTAAAATATAGACTAGCTATATCGAAAATAAAAACTATATAAAAATACAGCATAAAAGAAATCCTTAGTCCTGTTACTCCTCCGAGACGCGTTTCGCCCAGCGGCTTTTTCAATCGGTGTATTCATCTGTGTTCCGGTTTTCTTTTTATATCTTCAAAAAGGCCTCCCTTGATTGCGGATGGTCGGCGGCTATGTTGCGTAACGTCATTTCCGCTTACGTCATCATCCAAAGCGGTCGCATTTCAATTAGTTCGTGCACTTATGAGTCTTTAGTCGCCATCTTGTTTGAGGGCGAAATGCGATCTCTATATGTACATCAAGAGTCTCTCACATAGAGACATCATAATTATTACAACAAGATGGCGACTAAAGACTCATAAGTGCACGAACTAATTGAAATGCGACCGCTTTGGATGATGATGTAAGCGGAAATGACGTTACGCAACATAGCCGCCGATCATCCGCAATCAAGGGAGGCCTTTTTGAAGATATAAAAAGAAAACCGGAACACAGATGAATACACCGATTGAAAAAGCCGCTGGGCGGAACGCGTCTCGGAGGAGTAACAGGACTAAGGATTTCTTTTATGCTGTATTTTTATATAGTTTTTATTTTCGATATAGCTAGTCTATATTTTACAATAAATTGTTTTTCCTACAATCCATCGTTAACTCCAGTATCCTGTGTTCCTGCTATTTATCCTAAAGGGTTTTGTGTCCCCTTTTTGACACATAAAGTTATATATTCAGAGCCAGGATTTAGGCTCTGAACCAGGTGAGCAATTTTCAACTTCTTGGTAATCACATTTATGCTGATATACTGCACTATATTTTGGTTTCCATCCATTGAAGGTATCAAGAGTTCCCTGCCTGCATATAGGTTCCGTGTGACCCTAAAACACGCCAGCTTGAGAGATCTGAGCCTGTCCTGTTAAGGCTCAGAACCATGTGAGTGGTTCTATTTTCTCCACTATTAATTTCAACAATATTTACAATATACTACACCATATTATTGTCCATTTTATCCCCACGTATAGGTCATTTTACATAGACCAAGAGTGGGGTGAGTTTATTCACTTAGAGCGCTCCACCTATAGATTGGTTTTGGTTTTTTTTACCATCCCTTTCACTCTCTATATAATATAGGGCAATGCCCAAGCTAGAAAAACCTTGGGGGGTGGGGTGGTGGATAATAACAGCAGAATGGCTGCTGAAAATTTATTAAGGAGAATAGTAGAGGCTCAGGAAGCCGATAGGCTAACATAATTAAAGTCTCTTTAGAAGATCTCACATCCACTTGATAGCGCTGAATAAAAGTATTCTGAGATGAACATGTAGCTGCTCTGCAGATCTCAGCAGATGAGACTTGGGCAACATCTACTTAGGAATTGGACAGGGCTCAAATGAGATGGGCCTTCAGACCCTGAGGAACTGGAACTGGAACCTCATAAGCCTTCGTAATGGCTGAGAACTGCCACCTAGTGAAGGTTTTAGGAGATGCTTGCAGGTCTTTATTATGCCCTCCAGTGAGGATGAAAAGTCTCAAAGATCTTTTCCAACTGCTAGTTCTGTTGAGGTAAACAGCGGACCACCTCAAAAAATAGGGATTGTAAGAAAACAAGCAAAATGATCTCTTGGTTCATATGAAAGGTTGACACCACTTTAGGTCTGAACTCTGGAACCATTTTCAAATTTACCTTATCTTGCTGGAACGAGATAAAAGATTTGTCTGATGAAAGGGCTGCCTATTCAGAGTCTCTTTTACACAAAGTTAAGACAATAGAAGAGCTGTTTTAAGTTTGAGAATCATTAAAGGGATCTCTGTTATTGGTTCAAATGGGGGAATCTGTAAGGCTGAAAGGACAAGAAGCAAAACCCAAGGAGGAGAAATTGACTTAATAGGAGGTCCAATTTGCATAACTGCCTCATGAAATGAGCTACATTATTAGGGGTTGAGACCCATCTAACTCCTGATAAAGCTGAAAGAGCCAAAATGTTGACCTTCAACCTTTGTCTAGGTTGTCTTGTAGAAACCCCAGGAGATCCGCTGCTGTAAAGAATACTGGGAAAAAACTCATTGTTGATGCCAAATCAGTGAAGATGTCCCAGATTCAATAATAGGCAACATAGGTATTCCCTTTTCTTGCCTGAAGCATAGTTGAAATGGCCACATCTGAGAAACTCTTCTCTTTTAACTTCTTTCAGTTTGCATGCCATCAGTTGGAGGGTCTGTGGAGCAGGATGAAACAGAGGACCCTGAGAGGAGTTGCTCCCTCTGAGCAGCTTGAAGATAAGGGGAATTAGAGAAAACACATACCCTTTCCAGAAATTCCAAGAACAGGATAGAGCATCCCATCCGTCTACTAAGGGATGAGGTTCCCTGAAGAAGAACCTCTGAACATGTCTGTTTTGAAACTGGCCATCATGATGACTTTTGGGGGTGGGATATCTGTGAATCAACATCTTGCTTTTGATAGCCACCACTTAAGAGCTTCCTTGACCCTGGTTGTAAGAAGAATTTGGTTAAAATTCGGTCTGTACTTGCCCAGAAAGGTTTTTTAAAGAATATGAATGTGTCACTGAGTCATTTAAGTCAATCTAATATGGATAGGAACCCCAGGATACTCATATAAGATTTGGCCATGATCTTGTGAAGATAAAGAGTTTAGATACATTTTCTCTCAAATGACACCTTCTGACTTCTGATAGACAGACCAAGTCTCAACTCGAACCAGACTCCTAGATAGATCATCTGCTAACTAGGTTGGAGTTGACTTTTCTGTAAATTCAATACCCAACCATGATCCTCCAAGACTATTCTGGCCATGTCTTGATTGGCAATCAAGGACAAGCAATCTTTTGCCAACATCAGAAAGTCTGGAAAGTAATGGAAGATGAAAATATCATTCTTGTTAACACCTATTTACAACTTGGAATGTTTCTCTCTGCAGTGTTCTAATTGGTCGTATGGGTGGCCGCGATTCCTATGAACAACCACGAGGTGGCGACCATCTTGTTCGCATGAACACAGGCAACGGTTTTTGCGCATGAATCTCATGGACCTGAAATCGGATACAGAAACTTCCAAACACCACAGAACTTTCATCAGCGCCTGCGATCGTATCTGTTCAGCTTAGAAGGGCACTGTTCGGTGAGATCATTTGTTTAGATGAAGGGAACAAGCTCCAGGGTAAGAGTATTGACTCCGTTCGGTAGTTTGTTCCGAACTAGACCGGCCACAAGCCCTGATTCTCTGGAACTGTTTTGGGCATGAAACCATGCGTGCGGTCGGTCAAAAAGAGACTTTCAGGAATTTCCTGAACCCCTGCTCTGATCTGGGTGATTTTGGATATGTTGTTCACCCAGATCAGGACTATGAGGGGATGTTACTTTTATGGGGATATGTTGTATTTTGTGGTACTTATTTGACTTTATATAAATGTGTGTTTTTTCTGCATGGGGATAATTAAGTTAATGTATTATCTGACTTAATTATATCACTGGCAAAGGGAAGGGATTGTGTACTGTATGTAGGAGTGCCATTCATTGTTATATTGTTTCTATTGGCTTGTACACTTTGTGTCCCTGTGCCCAATAAGGTCCACCTGGGCGTCAACCTTTTTGAGAAACTTGTATAAAAGGCCAGCTTTGGCTTCCATTAAACAGACTTGTTCTACCCTTCATGAAGTTTGTTTGGAGGATTGGAGAACTATATACACTGTGGGGATTGCTATAATCACTATACTCTCTTGAGTATAATCACTAAGCTCTTGTAAGAGCTGTTCTTGCTATGCTCTCTGGACTAGGAGATGCCTACCCACTGGAAGCTGGATCCTGGTTTTGGGTCCAGGGAGGGTCGAGGACGGCGAGACCATAACCAAGCTGCGGTGGTTCGTGGGGTTTACGGTGGTTATGGTGTTCCAGCGCAGTGCTGATGGTACTCGTAGGTACTAGGAAGCAGCGATTGACGGAGGTATCCAGTCGGGGTGCCAGGCGTTCTGTCACAGTCCCCAACCAAGTCCTCATGGACCACCAACAGTCCAGGTTTTATGTATTTCCTTGTTTTATTCCAATGGAGATACTGGCAAAACTTGGACTGTTGGTGGTCCATGAGGACTGGGTTGGAGAACACTGATCTAGAGGCAAAGTTTTCTTTTTGGCCAGCCTGACCACTGCTGTGTTCACCTTAGGAGCTAGAATCCAAGAAGCAGTGTCAGGTTTCTAGAATGGGTATAACTTGGACCACAGATCGGTTTTTCCAACTTCCCCTATTCTTCACGAATTAGGTTCTTAAGAGTCATGTGAAGGGGGAAAGCAGTTTCTTTCTATCTAACTCTCATAAAATTCCCCAGGATTTGAAAATTCCTCTTCCTCAGTTGAATCCTGATATTCTCTGGGCATATTACTCCTTTCAGATGTACCTTCCATAGAGCTCTGACTGTCTGAGCTCTCTCTCCTAGTAGGCTAATTGCATCTCCCACTGTCTGTTTGATAATAATGATAATAAGCTGGATTGGCAGTTGTAGGATAAGCTACTGGAAGGTCTGCAACCAGTCTAAGCAGGCAATACGCAGCCTTTTCCAATCTGCTGCAAGATCATTGTCATGTACCCAGGGTTTCAAGGTAGGGGTTCCTCTTGCTTGGGTGGGAAATTTGGGATAATAAGGAATTGCAGAGAGTTGTAACTAGTTGTTAAATAACTACAGTAAAGTGATTTTAAGGTTTAGGATTTTCTTATGGTTATTTGATTATTTGTGTGAGATGAAACATAGTATTTTGTTTGCAATGGTTAAATTGTTTACTCTGTGAGTATTCAGGCAGCAATGAATATAACTGTGATAACTACCTGCCAGTATCTGTTTTATGTTCTCCGTTCGGTGTGATTTTTTTCTTGTCTATGTTGATACAATGTCAGTTGAATTCTAGAAGAGATATATAATAGTATAATTTGTTTAGAAATTAATTGATATACAATGAAGTACTGTTACCAATAGCCTTTTGATTATTCATGGGTACAAATATCTGTATTATTTGCTAAGTATGCTGACCCCTACTGGTAGATAATTTCTGAGTTGACAGCTAACTCATCACCCTAAGACAAGTGATTTAGAGAGCATATCTGTTGTGGTTATAGTTGCCATAATATTTTCATAGTTTATGCCTATTGTTATACCAAATATTTATTGATTATTATCATGCATGTTACATACCATTGTTATTTGTCACAATAAATTATATTGTTATAATTGGTTGTGATTAATGTGTGAAATATAAATTGCTAACAAACATGGTCCAGGGTCTGTAAGAGTTAAAGGACCACTATAGTGCCAGTAAAACATACTCGTTTTCCTGGCACTATAGTGCCCTGAGGGTGCCCCCCACCCTCAGGGTCCCCCTCCCGCCGGGCTCTAGGGGGTGGAAGGGGTTAAACTTACCTCTTTCTCCAGCGCCGGGCAGGGAGCTCTCCTCCTCCTCTCCTCCCGTCACCGGCTGAATGCGCATGCGTTATCAATGCTTTCCTTTGGATGCTGGTGTCTTCTCACTGAGAAAATCAGTGAGAAGCGCGGAAGCGCTCTAGCGGCTGTCAATGAGACACCCACTAGAGGCTGGATTAACCGATAGGTAAACATAGCCGTTTCTCAGAAACGGCTATGTTTACAGAAAAAAGGGTTGATCCTAGCTGGACCTGGCACCCAGACAATTTCATTAAGCTGAAGTAGTCTGGGTGCCTATAGTGGTCCTTTAACATAGTGAGTAAGTCTTAGCTTTAAACCAATCAAGGTGATACACTGCAAAATTATTGATACAAAATAAAACTGTATGTTATTAATATTAATAAAAAATATATTTTTATGATAATGTTTATAAAATATTATTTTTAATATTTAATACCCCATATATAGTCTCACAACGATATGTTAAATAAAAGTCTTGAGACGAAACACGTAGACGCTATCTCCTAAATATTCTGAGAGCACATGTTTTCATCCAAGGATCAGTCGTGCCTGGCCAGGCTGTGATGAATCTTTGTATGGCTCATCAAGTGCGCCTTATAAAAAGGAACAATTTTATACAAAAACTCCATATCTATACATTTTCTTTCCGTTCCTGTGATTTAGACTTTGTAATTTAGAGCAGTTCTATACCCGAATCCTCCAGACCCCCCAGGGGTGAAAGGAGTTTACTTACCCTCTGGATAGGTGTGGCAGTGACAGGCAAGTATAGGTAGACAGAGTGATAAACCGTGCCCTATAAAGTGAATATACAGTGCTGATAGTGCAAATGACAGAGGTGTATATATACTTATGTATCTGATGACATCTGTGACTTCAAACTATCTTGAAAAAAACTTAAAAGATATACACAAATAGTGCAACATGTAGCAGCAATATTTAATGTCGGGTAAAGTGTATAAAGTGCGCACTCACAATTAATTGAGCTACTGTGAAGCTCTGCTGATAATCGCCTGGACGGTACAATCCCCATCTGTGGATATATGTGGATCTACAGTTCTTATCCTCCAGTACATATGGGGAGACACAATAAAAGACTTTATGGTGTAGTATGCACAAGCATAAATAAAAATAATAAAAAAGTGGTATCTTACTTACAATATCCAGAGCATGACTTGCTCTGGTATGGAGAGGGTTGGTGGTATTATCCCCACCCAGGATATGCAGGATACACCAGGAACGTTGAAGACAGGAAAAAAATTATATATATATAAAAAATAATAAAAAGAGAATATCTCTTTAAAACTATAGATACTTTATTATATATATAGTAAAAGCAATATTTGTAATAACAGTAGCAGTAACAATACTTAGTAACAATACTTAACGCATTTCACCCTGTTGGGCTTCTTCAGAAGTATGAAAAGTCCTGGTTTATATATGTAGTGAAGTGGCAATTAGTGCCATCAGATGTGTTCAGTTCATTTCCTGGTTTGTAATTGTGAGTGCGCACTTTATACCCTTTACCAAACATTAAATATTGCTGCTACATATTGCACTATTTGTGTATATCTTTTCAGTTTTTTTCAAGATACTTTGAAGTCACAGATGTCATCAGATACATAAGTATATATACCTCTGTCATTTGCACTATCAGCAATGTATATTCACTTTATAGGGCGCGGTTTATCACTCTGTCTACCTATATTTGTTCTCTTGGTGAGATTTTTGGGAAGTCTCACAGATTCTCTGCTGCCCATTCCTTTTTCGCACTGTGTATAATGCAATACCCTGATCTAGAACTGCTAAACACAGTATAGTCCTGTATGTAAAAATATACTGCAGTAAGAGTAAGACTTTTGTTAAAGGCTGCTTCGTCAGTTTTATTGCATTTCAGAACAATAGGAACATTGTCGATCAAGAGAAGTACATAAACTGCTGTTTAATACCTATATACTTCATAGGTGGCTCTCAAGAACTGCCATATGTGCTGCAATTTCACCTTGAACAGTGAATGCATATGGTGTAAAAAATACAAATAAAAACACAGAATGCTGCCACTGCAGTGCCAAAATGCAAATTAGATTCATACTAGTGCAGCAAAGGTGCAAAGCAGCTGTGGTTCATTCAATAATGTACATTAGCATTCAAAACATAGAAAAAGCACAATGCGATACAAATATTTCAGGACTCCTGCCCCTTTCTCAGTAGGCATTTTAAATTAAGAAAAGGAATGTGTCCTGAAATGTTTGTATCTGGTGCTCTTCAATAAATGTATTAAGGGTTTAACTAGTGGCCTTTGTTAACTATTCTCTGCATCGTGCTTATTCTATATTTTGTATGCATAGTATAAAAAGGTCACTCTAAGCTCCATAATAATTTGCATAAATTGAAAGCTAATGTTTCAGAGCACACTCTGTACCCATATTTCCGGCTGGAATTTTTTTTAACTGCAGTGATTTATAAATATTGCTGCAGCTATATGCCCACTCCCTGACTCAGACATAACAAAGGAAGACTTTCCACTTCCTCAAGTGCCTTGTACATTTTTCCATACTTGTGCATGTAGTAAGTGTGCCATACCGCACACACCGCTAAGAAAGACTAGTTCAAAGCACTGGGCTGTATATAAACTAATAGCACGAGTATACCTGCTATTAGTGTATCATGCAGCCATATTCATTTTATGTGATAAATAATTCTGCAGCAGGGGGATAGACTATACATCAAACGCCTGTTGGACAAGATGAGCAAAAATAGAAGCTTGTGACTGGAGGTTCCAGTGTTTGGTAAAAGAGGAGTTTGTCTTTTGCTTCATCCAGACACTCACAGTCATCAGCATAGGCACCAAAAAAAACCTGGGGTATAACATCAGAGAGCGTACAAATTTTTACAGGCGGATATATTTTTACTAGGGAATCTGACAGAAGAATGGGATAGCAACTGTTTTAACATAGGTTTTGTTTTTACAGTGAAACGTATCTTAAAAGCTATACCAGATCTTCGAGGGAGGGGGGAGAATTGTAAGCTGTGCAGCTATATATTTATATTCTTTTTTTTATATTTGTAATGTTTTAGCTCCATAATGCATTAATTGTTTTTTGTTTTAATTGTTTCCCTTTGACATTCTAAAATCTCACTGATGTCAACAGATAGCGGTCTTCTAATAACACATTTTATTGTCACAGTGTTAAGATGTGTATTCTTCTGATTGTTTACTACAACCAAAAAACAATATTTTAATATAAAACCGTTTTGGGATGGAATAACCCTTGCTGGCCTGGTCCCCACTAAAAGAAAAAAAAAAATATACAAAAGGAAAATCTTTATTAAAATTGTCTGCTGAGGCCAAGTTCTCTCTGCAGTTTGATCCTCCCGCTTCCTGCAGTGGAAGGGATCTTCACACAGGACATGCTTAGTAGAGTACTTTGGCCACATAGGGATGGCGTGCCACCATTAGTCGTAGGTCGCCAGTGTGCTATGTGTGCTGATGACAAACAGCAAAAATGCACACATTAGCCAGGCTAGCTATATATGCTGCTGGAGGTTGAGTTACACCTCTGGCATGCAAAGTGCTTTAACAATGTGTGTATTATTTCTCATGAAATGCTGTATAGACACTTAAAGCACCATGACCACATTAATCACTAAAGTGATCTTGGTGCTTGGCGTAACCCTTTAAAGGCTTACAATGTCATAGGAAAACATATGCACAACGTTCCATAAACTAAACCCATAAGATCATGATTTTCCTAGAAAATAAGGATGACAGACATTGAAATACATTCAACTAAGGAAAACATGTTAAAGAAAATTGATCATAGTTCCCCTCAATGAAAAGGTAGATCCAGTACAGATACTGTACATTAAAATAAATATATAAACATAACAAATTAAATGTAATGTTTCAATAGATTAGGGCTGATTGTCCTTCTCTGGAGTTGTTAAGTTATGTATACAGAGAGCCAATAGATTAGGCCTTCTCTAGATCGTATAGTTAGATATACAAAGAGCCATCAGCAGGGCCAACATATCCAACGCTAATTAAGAAGACATCAATCAAAGTCCATATTCCCAGGCCTCCAAAGCTGAATAGTTTTCCAAGTCCTTCTCGCCACTGTCCTAAATAAAACCGATCTGCACCAAATCCACCAAGTGTGATGCTAGAGATAGCAGAGAAAGAGGTTATCGTTAACACAATTCACCAATAAGAAGTAAAAAAAAAAAAAATATATATATATAATAATAATAAATATATATATATATATATATATATATATATATATATATATATATATATATATATATATATATATATATATATATATATATACATATACATACACACACACACACACACACTCACTTATTACTGATATATACCACAAACAACAAAAATGTAAAGCCTTCTAATTTCCTTGTATTTTGTAATAATTAGTGCACTTAATTCCTTTTTGACATTTTTTTTTTAAATCTTATTTGAGCATCTGTTTCAGCACACCACAGCCGACTATCCTCTTGAAGGTTACAGCCCTTGCCTCTGACCAGAAATGAGAAAACAGCAGTATGGCGTTGTAAGACGAGCTGTCTGGCTATTTAATCTATACCCTTTCCCCTCTTGGGTTTGTCTCTGAGTATACGTTGCTCCACCCTCTACTCCTCCCATCAATTAATCTTTCCTTCTATTGTCCACGCAGGCCTTTTTTTTTTTTTTTTCAGGGTTTTCCCAAGTTCCAAGGGTTCTGCACACTACACCCGAATACACACTCACTTTGCATTAATAAAAATAAACTATTAATATTTCTAATTTTAAAAGCATTCTTACCATCTAGAATTTCTGCACACCTGTCTAGAACATCTAAAAAGGGCCACTACAGATTAATGTAATCTATAATATGTCCATGCTGGCTCAGCAATGAAAATGCTGTTTACATTGCTGCCTAGTAACACTAGTAACCACTAGAGAAGCTTCCTATTTCAGTGCTCTACTGTGTGCTGCACCTGCATTCAGCATCTCTGTGCTCTGCATAGAGATGTAAATGCTCCCTATAAAGATGCATTGATTTAATGCATCTCCATGAGGAAATGCTGATTGGAGCAGTGCAGCGTTTTGATGCGCGTTCGCAATAGCCTTCCAATGTTTTTTTCAGCTATGAACATGGGTCCAGCCACGGCGAGACCAGCGTGGCAATGGAGATACTACCTTATAGCTGCAATCTGAGAGGACCAGGCGTCTAAAATGGTACTCCAGCACTATAGTGTAAAAATGGCAAACGTTGTATGAAACTCATTCAGCTATTCAGTAAATACAAGTCAGCCAAATCTCTGTATGTTTAATAAGTTAACAAACTGATTTGATCCAATTCTGCTGACACAGACCAGGAGCACGGCACCCATAACTCCCCCATTATATCATCCCAAGACTATTCCCAACCCATCTTAATCCCAGTGATTCCCATAACATTAAACCCCCCATAACTCTACTCTGGAAATTGTTTTCCCAGGGAAATTCAGCTGGCATTAGGTTACAATTCAGTTGAGTCATTTTAAAATAAATCCCATGGTGCAATGAGATCCATTTACAAACAGCAGTGGCCAATGCAGCTCATTGCAATTTCATTTTGTTTGATAGGAATTAAAATGAACTTGAGCAATGTTATCTGTAGAATTTCAAAGAACTGAGCCAAGCAAAAGTGCCCACATTTAAAAATAGCAAATCTGGCATTTAGTGAATATTATTTGTGTAAAAATAGATACATTATACAACACTATGAGTTCTGCTTAGTAAACTCTTGAACCACGTTGATACCTTAATATAAGGGCAGTAGACCATTTGTAACCACCTGTCCAGTTACAATACAGCATCTTTGGAAAAACACGAATACCTACAGTAAAAAAAAAAAAAAAACCCACCACAATTAAATTGGGAAGAAAAAAAAAATAAAATAAAAAATTTTTTTTTTTTTAAAATACATATACAATGCTATGCAAATATTTTAAGTTTAAGGTACGGTATTTGTAAGACACTGATGGCTAATAATTGTTTCGGCAAGCCTTTGCTAAGCCTACACAACTTTAGACCTCAGTAATTCAATATACCAGTTGATTAATAAAGACTTCAGAAATTTCACAAATATCAGCCGCACCGATTTAAAGGGGAACTATGATTTCTCTAGAATTGACATTATGAAATATTTAACCCCTTAAGGACACATGATGTTCCATCAAGATTCCCTTTTATTCCAGAAGTTGTGTCCTTAAGGGTTTAATAGGACATAAGTTGTGTTAAACCTGTGATGCTCAAATTTTTTTCACATTTATGTGCAAGATTTAGAAAAGTACATCATAATCCAGTTCAGTCTAGGCACGGCCAAAGCATAAAATGCAGATAAGTAGGAGAAATAGAAAAGTTCCCCTTTTCTCTCAATGCAGACTACAAGGTTCCCAGGTGCAAAGTACAAAGCTGAGAACAATGGCTGATAGGGAGACCAGTTACATGATAAAGATATATGGATTGCTACATGCAAGTTTATTTCCCTCACAAATACACATTTGTTCAATGAAGGGGATAAATAAACATAATATTAAATATCCTGGGACGTAACAGTCATCATTAAGGGGAGAAAACCACATAAGTAGGGGCAACATTTCCACACACTTCTTGCAGGGAGTTTTTACCTAGCCATTCGAAATAGAGGGCAGCCAAGTTAAAAGTGAAGTTATCAAATACACCCAATCATAAAAGTCATAAATGTAACAGAGTTAAACAGCATTATAAATACACCCTTAGTTTTGAAGTTACTTTAAATGAGCAGGGTTCTTTTTGTATCTCTAAGCAACATAATCACATGATCCCAAGTTCAATGTGAAGTCATTTAGCAGAAGATTAGCATAAACGTTGAGTCTTCCCAGTGCCTATAGTCCTAAATTTCTTCACCCACACCGATAATGCAAATTTGACACTTACACATTATCAAGGTTATCCTCATCAACTAGAATGGCTGACTGGATGAGAAAGCTAGACTAACTTCCTGCACTCTCAGCCAATCAATGCTGATCAGGTTGGCCAAAACTAACACAAAGTATGTGGGAGAGTAAATTCCACATTATCTGTGCAACTGAATAGGAGAGAGGCCCATGACAGACTCACAGTCTGTTTTGACACTAAACTAGATGCTGGAGGCACGAAGCTCTAGACAACATCACCACTAAAAGAAGCTGTAGGGCTTATATTGCTCAGAGTGCCCCTTTAAGATCTTCATAGAGGGAAACATGGCTTTAAAAATGCAGATGGCAAGCTACTAACAAAGTTATGGTCTACCATATAGTATTTGCAATTCCATAATTTCACAGTTCTGTAAGCAGATGGGATCTTTTTATGATCACCTACTTAAAATAAATATGTTAATATCACAAACATAGGACCCAAGTGTTTAAGACAAAATAGGAGTTCAGGAGATGCCCTACCATTAACAATTTAGATATAAAAAGAATAAAACACTAAGAACAAACCTAGACAGTGCACGTGGTCCAATACCGTGCAGTTGGCACTGTACCTCTGTCTCGGGCAGGAAACAGTCATACAGTTGGTTGATTTACTGCACACATATTCAGAGGGTGGAAGCTGCCAACAATATTGGCAGGTCATGGTGATGGTGAATTTTTTCTGCCTCTGATGGTTGTCATCCTGTTTGTACATATATAAAAAAAGAACCACACACATAAATGAAGGGATAATGAACCCATATTTTGCCAACTTCAAAAGGCATATAAAAACTGTAATAAAATCAGAAATTGATATTAAGGACAATAACAAGAAATGCAAAATTAGCACTAGAGTAAATTCAGAGTTGCTAAGTATGTGTCTGTCAGATGATGTATGTAATAACTGACTGTATAATCCACTGCCTAAATTGTTAGCACTATTCACTTTTATATTATTGATTGACCTTTTTAAAGCAGACAAACTCAAAGTCTGTTCAGTTAGACCTACCTTAAAGGACAACTGTCACCTACAATAAAAGTTTTGTTCATTAGAAGGCTTTCCTGAAATAGCTAAACTAAAACAGTTTTTTTACCCCAATTATACTATTCAAACTATTATTAGCTGTATTCATTTATTAAGAAAAGAAAAAAAAAAATAATGTATAATACTTACCTACCTTGATCTCTTCTATTTTTTTTTTCCTATAAAGTTGGCAATAATAACTGGTGTCCTTTTAAAGGGACATTCCAAGTTGGAAGTGACCTTAATTTTCAAACATTATCTTATAATAGCAGTAAAAAAATACTGCACATGCACACAGGCAGCAGTGAGCTTCGCCCAGACCATGAAGGATCTTCAATACCATTTCCATTCATTAGATCAGATTCCGAACTATACTAAAATACTGCAGCGTGTGCTTCATTGTGGTTCACTGCACTGCTGCTGGGTTACTGTGGCAATGTTCACACTTACTGCATGAGTGCTGAGCCAGAAGAGTGTTTGTGTTGCCTGCACCCACCACGTGTATACTGTCCCAGTGGACCAGATGGGATCACCAGGAAGGTATACAGGAGATGGGGGATAAAAAAAACAAAAAAACAAAAAAAAAAACACCTATATTTAAATGAGGTTACACCCACAACCACAGACAGCCACCCCTCACACACAATCACACTACGCCAAACCCCACCCAGAATCACAACCAACCACCCCTCACACACAATTGCTCCCAATCACTCCCCCACACACACACCTTAGGGGTGAGTAACAAGGGCAACCCTTCTTTTATTTTTACATTGAGGCCCAGAGGTTCCTAGGGTCACTCCTGGTATACGCTATATATATTTTCTGAAGGAAGGAGGAGGACTTTTATTTCTCCTTTACCATTTGGAGGAAGAGATTTTTGTAATAGTTGCAGTTCTATTCAATTGTATACAAGCAGACAACAGGAGACCTACTTGCACAATCACCATTGCAAACAGTATAAGTTGTTATGGTGCTTGGAGTATAGTGTTAGCTGATATCTTGAGCTACAAAGAGTTTATGAAACAAATACAGCTAGGTTAAAATGGGTTAAAAAGCTTATATAGGTTTGTATGTCACTATGTAGACTATTATGTAATAAGGCAGTTTGTAATAAAGAAAAGCACACATTACTTACAACACATACGACCTGGTCTTTGGCTTCACAGTCAAAAGTGACAGGCTTGCCATAAATACAAGAGTTGTTCGTAGCACAGATAACACAAGCGGAAGGTAGATTACTGCATAACCCGTTGCTGGGACATTTTGACATGTAAGACGGTGTCTCTGAAACTTCAAAAATAACAGTGGTCAAAAATAACAAAAAAGTTACAACTGTATCTAGATCAAATATCACATTTCCTTTATTTAAAATTTTTACAAAAGACAATTTCCAAGCAATTAGTAGGATTTTTATGCAATCACATTTTAACAGGATTAATATGTTATCACGTTAAATGCGCTGTCAGAAAATCAGAGGAAGAAACACAAAATACTCTTTACACCATAACCACTACACTTTGCTGATAAAAAGGGGGTACTTTAAGCACCATAACCACTAGGCATTATTGATGTGGTGCAAATAGTCTTTGGGTGCCCTCTCCCCTTGTTTTCTGTCAAGCGTTTTTGAATTGGTTTGACATGGAGCAGGACTATCATGACCGGCAAAGCCCAGCCCCATTGCTGCTACTGTCAGACAATGCAGAGATCTCCCGACCACATTATACATCCAGAGCTGTTCAGCCTTCAACGGCTGTCAATCAGTCCAAGATTAAACCGATTTCTGCAGATAACGTGAAAGAGAAACTGAAATTTTGGGAGAGACAGTTATTATTCTTCAATTTGTAGTAAAGGATTCATAAAGAATAATAGGAACACTACAGCGTTAAGAATACAAACATGTATTCCAGGCACTACACAGTCCTGAGACCTATATAGGTGTCGGTCCCTATGTCAGGGTTTGAAAGGTGAGTATTACTTGCCTTTAAGCCCTTGCCACACTGTTCTACCTCTATGGGTGAAATCAAGTTTAAGTAGAGAGCAATGCTGCAATTTTTTTTATTTTTTTTATTGCGCTAGGAGCAGCATTTCATCTATAACTGATATTTACCCGATCATTGCAGAGGAAGCGCCTCTAGTGGCTGTCTTCCGGACAGACACTAGAGGTTTGTTAACCATGCAATGTAAACATTGCCATTCCTACAGTACAAGAATATTTAGCACTGCATGCTTCAAAAGACAGTAGCACTGGACCCAGGCCACTTCATTAAAATATACTGACATTTACCTGTTGCTTTGGTGGTTGGAGGAACTGTGGAAGACGGGAGCTCGTCCTTTAACAATTGAGCTACTGGCTGGGAATGCTCCAAACTCAAGGACCCTAGAAAAGGAAACAAAATGCTGTTTACTGCTACTATTTTGTACATTGCATTTTTTCAAGGTTATTCCAAGAACCTTGAGTCCATGACTAATTCAGTGATATGGAGTCTGTGTGTGCACCTTTCCAGTAAAAAAACAAAGCACATACAGATATGCAATTTTAGCCATAGGTAAGTTTATGGTTTTGTTTTTTAAGGGCAAGACAGTGCAAGCAAGGGTTACTCCATTCAAAACAGTGTTTTTATTAAAATATTGTTTTTAATTGGAGAAACTCTAAATATGCCATCCTAAAATGCTGACATAAGAGTTAAGTTATGACACATAAGATGTAGTGCCTCCCAACTGGTCATGTGCTCTGCCCATCTGGAAGGAAATGAGTCAAGTAAGACACAAATTAGTTTTTAAGGAAACAAAACAATAATTGCTTATAAGTCTACAGAAATATACCAGAAATGTATGTTTTACATTAAACATGGTGCACTTCTGTACTACTTTAGGTGTTAGACAATGGTCTCTGGAAGTGAATAGATACTAGAAATTGTGAAGAACTGACTAAAGAATTGCAGATTATAAGCTAAAATAGAGTCATTACTAAAACAAACAAAACGTATGCAGCTGTTTTTACATTTAAAACATAGAATCATTTGCAAATCTTGTCCAGATGACCCATGACCCATTTCCAGTTTAGTGAACACATACCTCTAAATATTATAAATACCAAGGGTAGTCTAACATTATCTACTTTATATTTTTTTTCCTACTGGGGATGTTTACCAAACAAATGTTGTACAGAAAAATAGCTATACCCTAAATAAAGTAGTCAGAATTCTGCTCAAATTTGATGAACGAGAGAGTTGTGAAATGCTAATGGTGTATGTACATTACATTATTCCTGTGTAATGAACATGACTAGTACTCTATTATCTTCACATGGGAAAGACAGCAAAGCCAGACAGATACAATTAAGATTTGTGTTTTTACAATGTTTAGCAGTTTTGTATTTCATCACTTTTAAGTAAATTTCTGTATTGGTTAGCTTAATAGACATGAATATAAAGTGTGCAATTGTCATTAATATTTTAAGAAGAGATCTGTAAACAATTTATTTTTAGCTCCATTATTCCACTAAATACACAGAAAAATGTACTTTCACAAAAGAAAAAAACATGCAGTCTGTGTTAAAGGTGTCAAGAAAACAAAGTGGTTTTCCTGTATAGTGCCCTAAAGGTGCCCCCACCCTCAGGGTCCCCCTCCCGTGGCGCTGAAGTGGTTAAAACCCCTTCAGCAGCTTACCTTATTCCAGCGCCGGGCTCCCTCGGCGCTGGTGTCCTCTCCTCCTCAGTCGACGTCAGCTCCCTCTGCCGACGTCAGCTGAGCAGCATTCAAGCTGTCAATAGGAAAGCATTTCTCAATGCTTTCCTATCGACGCTCTGCGCGATGGAGGCATAATATGCCCCCAGCGTTACAGATGCGCCTCTAGTGGCTGTGTTAAGGCTGGCTTAACCCTGCAATGTAAACATAGCAGTTTATCTGAAACTGCTATGTTTGCATCTGAAGGGTTAAAACCTGAGGGACCTAGCACCCAGACCACTTCATTGAGCTGAAGTGGTCTGGGTGACTATAGTGTCCCTTTAAATATTGAACAAAACAATACTATCACCACAATCACGTGTGAGTAGTGTGAAATAAGAAAAGCAAAAAACATACGGGATACGGCTGTGGAATCTAAAAAGAACATAGACAAAACATAGTGTAATACAATTTTAACAATGCACTCACAAGATGTAGACGTATTATGCGCACAAAGAGTGCCTCCTCCGATGTAATTGGGGGGCTATGGATCTCTCTCCGCTGTCTGCAGGACAGGGAATTGTTAGGCTATCTTTGTATAACCATCTGTAATTTACTTTGATTTTATGGTCTCTGAGGAAGTTCCAAGTGTGGGACGAAACGTGTAAGACCACAACTACTGCCGTTTTATCAATTTTATTTGATTTATAATAAAAGCCGCTATTTTATACTACCACCGGGAGTCCTGATTTCCTTCTATCCTGCAGACAGCGGAGAGGGATCCATAGCCCACCAATTACATCGGGGGAGGCACCCGTTGAGCGCACAATATGTCTACATCTTGTGAGTGCATTTTTGTACAGCGCACATTGTTAAAATTGTATCACACTATGTTTTGTCTATGTTCTTTTAAGATTCCACAGCCGTATCCCATATGTTTTTTGCTTGTATCCTGTGTTAAATATTGTACTGACAAGAATGTGGGGAACTGAAAATACAGCTCACTTTGGAGATTTATGTTTTTCCCAGTTCAGCTCTTTTGAACTTTAAATTGCAGACAAGTTACACATTACTGAAAATAATAATAATAAAAAATAAGGGGGGTGTAAACACACTTCTAAACTGTCAATGGTAACTATGGGGATGATGGGATTTGTAGTCTCTAAAACCTAGTGAGCTGCAGTGTCCCTGCCCTAACACAGAGCTAGTTAACAGTCCAGATATATGAGAGTGAGAGGAGATACAGAGGAGTTGGGTGGATGTTATCATGGAGCTCCCATGTCTTCCTGCCATACAGTGCAGCTTGCCAGGAGAGGGGCAGGCAGTGAATACAATGAAGGCTGGCCCTTGCTGAGAGACATGGCAGGCGCCCTGACACTCACCGCGGCCGGAGAACACGTACAGCTGGGACACAAACAGAACAACACTGCACAGCCTCTTCAGCACTGACAGGGCGGCCATGATGCTTCCTACAGGGACAAGCTGCGGCTCAGTGACGTCACATGCATGGGGGGAAACGTGCGTTCCAAACCTCGATCTCAGTACAAACCACGCCTACTCAGCCAATACATGTTTTTGTTTTTTTTATTGGCTGAGTGACACATGCATGGGCAGCTGCTGGTGTAGAGGAATAGAACACTGGGTTGTCAGCTGAGCTGTGTGTTTCTGGTAGTAGTGATGGTGGTTGTCTGGTAGCTGCTGTGGAGTCCAATGTCCAGCCAGTCACCTTGGCTAGTTAGTTTATCAGTGTTACAGTGCCAGCAGGGAGGAGGGAATCCTGGAATCATGTGGCTGCCAGGGAAACTCACTCAATTCTGGAATGTAAAGTTAATTTCAAACTTTAGAACAAAATTGAAAAATTGGAATAAAAAAAATAATCTCAAATTGACCATGGTTTCTTGAATTGTATTTTAGAATGCCTATTGGATTTTTATTGATGATAACAGTATTAGTTAATGCCATAGTCCCCAGTGTGTACTTGACTTGTATCTGGAAAAAGTTGTATACCTGAGCAACTATAATAATAAAGAAATGGGCAAACGCTGTAGGAAGCAGCCTGTTTTAATAAAAAAAAAAAAAAAGTAAACTAAAATCTGTTAGTTTAATGCAGCTGGGAATATTTTTATATTCGAAGTTCTTGACATGGTTTTGAATAACCCTGTTTTATGCATTGACAGTATCTCCCTCTTCCTTCAAACATACATTTATTGTATTCATCTTAGAACGGAAGCTCATTTGAGAAGGATCCGCCTCACCTCTTGTATCTGTCAATTCCTTGTTATATAGCCCAACTATATCATTTTAAAGTGCTGCAGAACACATTGTTCTACGCTATCGAACTACCATTCTTTCTTCAAGTATCTTCAATAGTTTATATAGGGAGTGGACAAAATGACGGAATCCAAGTCTACGGAATATGTTGGAGTTGCATGATAATAATAATAATAATCAAATGATAGCAATAAGGAAAGAAAGGTTTAAATTTGAAGCAATAAACCACAATTTCAAATGTAACTTCATAGTGGTGTGATAATATTTATATACCATTAGATCACCGTGCAGATTAGTACTGCCCAGGGTTACTTGTGTCCCTAATGGAGAGTGAGGAAGTATTTGAAGGTATTTATATCTACGAAGGCCCAGATTAAACTGTTACTTTTGCTCCTATTGTCTCTCTGTGAAGGGTTAATATTCTACATTATGCATAGGTAACACTGACCAACTGGTTCAATTCAGGGTCCCAGTACCTCTAAGTCAAGTCATTTGAGAGCTGAAAATGTGACTGTCCTTTTGGGTGGTTTAAAGTTGCTTTCCAGGCCTGTTAAATGAACACTCAAAGCACCATAGTTACTGCCCCCCAGACGTAAGTAATCAAAACATTATACAAATATATTCAGGGTCAATGCAAACCATTGTCTGGAAATCTTTTTATAAATAGGACTATACATAGGAGACAAGGAAACATTTAGACCGTAAGAAAGGAGATTGTCTAAGTCGCAGGGGTTGGCAACCTTCGGCACTCCAGATGTTGTGGACTACATCCCCCATAATGCTCGCAAAACATCATGGTTGGTGTAGTCCAAAACATCTGGAGTGCCGAAGGTTGCCTATGCCTGGTCTAAGGCAAAGGAAAGGGTTTCTTACAGTAAGAACATTAAAGGACCACTATAGTCAGTGGTGTATCCTGGTTTTGTGCTGCCCTAGGCAGGACAAAACTCAGGCGCCCCCTCCCCCCGCGCCACCCCCACCCAGCCCTTCCCCCCACCCCACCTTCTAAATACACACACACAGTCAGACACAAACACACACAAACAGACACACTCACAAACACACAAACACAGTCAGACACAAACACACACACACATACACAAACACAGTCAGACACACAGTCAGACACAAACACACACACTCACAAACACAGTCAGATACAAACACACACACACACTCACAAACACAGTCAGACACACACAGAGTCAGACACATACACAGACACATACACAAACACAGTCAGACAAACACACACACAGTCAGACACAAACACACACACACACTCACAAACACAGTCAGATACACACAGAGTCAGACACAAACACACACACAGTCACACACAGAGTCAGACACAAACACACACACACATTAACTTTTTTTTAATTTAAATCCCCCCCCAACCTCCTTACCTTTGGGAGTGCTGGGGGGGGAGGTCTCTTTCTCCCTGGTGGTCCAGTGGCTGCAGGTCGGGCGGGCGGGCGGCTGGCGAGGGAGCACTTCCCCTGAGCTGTCAGCTCAGCTCCCTCGTGCGCCGGCTGCAGAGTGAGGCTGGGAGCCGGAATATGACGTCATCTTCCGGCTCCCAGCTTCACTCTGCAGCGCGCGAGGGAGCTGAGCAGACAGCTCAGGGGAAGTGCTCCCTCGTCAGCCGCCCGCCTGCCAGCACCGCCCGCCCGCTCGGGATGTCAGTTAGCCGCGAGGCTAACTGGGCATTTGCCCTGGGCATTTGGGGGTGGCGTTTTTTGCCTCGTGGCTAATACGTCCCTGACTATAGTGCCAGGAAAACATACTCGTTTTCCTGGCACTATAGTGCCCTGAGGGTGCCCCCATCCTCAGGGTCCCCCTCCCGCCGGGCTATAGGGTGAGGAAGGGGTTAAACTTACCTCTTTCTCCAGCGCCGGGCGGGGAGCTCTACTCCTCCTTGGCTGAATGCGCATGCGCGGCAAGAGTCGCGCGCGCATTCAGCCAGTCTCATAGGAAAGCATTCACAATGCTTTCCTATGGACGCTGGCATCTTCTCACTGTGAAAATCACAGTGAGAAGCACGCAAGCGCCTCTAGCGGCTGTCCATGAGACAGCCACTAGAGGCTGGATTAACCCTAATATAAACATAGTTTCTCTGAAACTGCTATGTTTATAGAAAAAAGGGTTAACCCTAGCTGGACCTGGCACCCAGTCCACTTCATTAAAGGACCACTTCCTGGCACTATGGTGCCCTGAGGGTACCCCCACCCTCAGGGACCCCTTCCCGCCCGGCTCTGGAAAGGGGAAAAGGGGTTAAACTTACCTTTTTCCAGCGCTGGGCGGAGAGCTCTCCTCCTCCGATCCTCCTCTTCTCCTCCCCGTCGGCTGAATGCGCATTCAGCCGGTCACATAGGAAAGCTTTCATAATGCTTTCCTATGGACACTTGCGTGCTCTCACCGTGAAAATCAATGAGACAGCCACTAGAGGAAATAGGGGAAGGCTTAACCCATTGATAAACATAGCAGTTTCTCTGAAACTGCTATGTTTATGAAAAAATGGGTTAACCCTAGCTGGACCTGGCACCCAGACCACTTCATTAAGCTGAAGTGGTCTGGGTGCCTAGAGTGGTCCTTTAAGCTGAAGTGGTCTGGGTGCCCATAGTGGTCCCTTAAGGATACAGAATTCTCTATCAGAGTCCATACAGATGTTTAAACAGCAATGGGATAAATACTTGTTAAAACATAATATACATGGATATCATTTTTAATAAGTGGAGTAACAGCTTCTTGACCCAAGGATAAATCTGACTGCCATTCTGGGGTCAATAAGGATTCCCCCCCCCCCCTAGTTTGTTGCAAAATTGGAAGTGCCTCAGACTAGGTTTTTGCCTTCTTTTGGATCAACAGCAAAAAACAAACATGAGGAAGGCTGAACCTGATGGACGCAAGTCTCTTTTCAGCTATGTAACTATGTAATTAAAGGTCTCACATTAATTTTTTTTAAAAATAACACAATTACTACTAGGACAGGAAGTTAAATTTATTTGCAATTACAATCTTAAACCATTAAAGTAGCTCTATCACATTACGTTTTCATCAAATAAATCAATGGAACCCCAACAGATTAATATTACAAAACAAAATACAGTAAGTAGTAGCTGCAATTACACTTTGAATTTAATTCAGACAAGCAGTGATTAAAAAAGGTATTTTTAGCATGTCATACTAGCAGCCAATAAGAACCTGAGAACTCCATCTTGCCAGCATTCAGCTGTGCCAGGAAGAGAATATACAGTGTGTTAGCTGCCTGATTTTGCAGAATGCCACCTGTTTACATTAGAAATATTTTATTCAGTTTTGTAGTTTTTTGTTTTTTTTATTAAAAAAAAATACTGAACAGCTTAAAGACAGGTCAGCATGATGTAAGTCCCTTTCTTTTACAATTTATTATGGTGCAAACAGTATTTGTTTTAGAGCCACTTTAACTTATCCAACGTGAGTGAAAATTCAAATAAATAATTTTTTCTTTCATCTTTAGAATTCCTCTTCGGCGTTTCTACAGTGCGACTTCTTCAACTTCAGCAGCTTCTCTATGGCAGAGTTTATAGAAATCTCTCCATGTACATTGTTATCTCTTGTGCGCACGTTCACAGCGTTGTTTGTTTTTTCTTTCTCTCCGACCACTGTAAGCACAATATGTACATTAGAAAACATTTGTCTCAGCCAATCACAGTGTAGCTGTTATTTTCCATCTGTGAAATGTCCATGAGATTTGCTGGCATAGTTCCCATAGAATGTAATATTACGCTCTTTTCGATTTGATAGTGAAAAGGCTAATTAATGAAGGCATGTCTAATTAGCTAATGCTGACTGCTTTTCTTTTGTCACGGGAGATATAGGTATAACACAGGTAGTGGTACATAATTTGTGGCTAGCATATACACTATTGACTTCTATGGGGCTAGACTTGTCCAGGCACACTAACCGAGAATAATGCTTGTGCTTGTGCTTATAAAACTTCATTGACTTCATCTCAGTTTTTAAAGAATTCACAGTAATACTTCAGCTTGCATAATAACGCACAGTAAATATTTACCATTAATGGCTACGAACTCTTGAAATCCAATCCTGCGCATGCTTCCTGGTCCTTACTTATATTTAAAGTCATCATGGAATAAACCAGACTATGTTTTACATTGAAGACTAGCGAGATACTGCTATTATGGCTAGTATCAACGTGTTAATATGTATTCTGTTTCACTGTGATGAGCACAGGAAGCCTATATTAGAAATATTTTGGTGAAAATAGCCTGTCCCTATAGGCTTTTTTAATGTAAACACTGCCTAGGGAGACCTCCAGTGGCTGCTAGAGGTGCTTCCTGGGTCAGTGCTGCACACTGATGCTGAACTTTCTCCATAGAGATGCATTGATTCAATGGGGGGACTAAACCCATTTGTTGGGGAAACATTGCCTACTTTCCTCAACCTTCCAGCAGGTATGGCATAGCACCAATGCCAGAGTTTCAATTTAATAATTTCTGTGTATGTGTCTCTTCTTCTAATCTTTATATGTTCCTTCTCTATTAGTTGTAGTACACAAAGATGGACTATAACTGCATGGTGACAACGCATACTACAATTTAGAATGCAGGATGAATGAAATCCATTATACTGATTTTTTAAAAGTTCATAGGAAGGGTCTTGAAGTTTTTTGAAATGGCAAAGGTCATAATAAAGTGCAGCTTTTGTTCACACACACAAAAAAAACTTGGCCGAGTATATGGTTCAATAGTATGATATTGTGTCTGTTTTGTAAAATTACCGAAAATGAAATTGTACTGAGCCAGCTGTGCATTTCGTATTTTCTTGTTTAATGTACAGCCGTGGTCGAGGTCCACATCAGCCATAAAGCCTGCATCGAAGAAGTCTTTACACACCTAGAACACAATAACATAATACCAGAAAAGGGGCCCGATTAGCTTGATAGGCAGTTTACTGTTCTCAGAAAAGAATAAACAAATATGAAGCATGATTACTAGGAAACTTAAAGGACCACTATAGTGCCAGGAAAACATACTCGTTTTCCTGGCACTATAGTGCCCTGAAGGTGCCCCCACCCTCAGGGTCCCCCTCCCGCCCGGCTCTGGAAGGGGGAAAGGGGTTTAAACTTACCTTTTTCCAGCGCTGGGCGGAGAGCTCTCCCTCCTCTCCTCCTCCGTTACACCCCGCCGGCTGAATGCGCACGCGCGGCAAGAGCTGCGCGCGCATTCAGCCGGTCTCATAGGAAAGCATTTACAATGCTTTCCTATGGACGCTGGCGTGCTCTCACTGTGAAAATCACAGTGAGAAGCACGCAAGCGCCTCTAGTGGCTGTCAATGAGACAGCCAGTAGAGGATTAGGGGGAAGGCTTAACCCATTCACAAACATAGCAGTTTCTCTGAAACTGCTATGTTTATTAAAAAATGGGTTAACCCTAGGTGGACCAGGCACCCAGACCATTTCATTAAGCTGAAGTGGTCTGGGTGCCTAGAGTGGTCCTTTAATCCAAATACACACAAAATAACATATAGGCAAGGAGTGGAAGAGAGAGAGAGGGAGGGGAAAAAGGGAGGGTGGGGTAAAAAAAGAAAGAAACAAGGGGGTGGCAACAGTACTAAACTAGGCTAAAAACCTCTAAACCTAGAGACAATAATTTATGTTTAAAAGGGATAGTACTGTGCTATCTATAGATAAGCTGTCTAATAACGATATAATGCACTGTAATACGAACCACATATTAACCACTACCAGCCAGTGTAATATAACCCATATGCAATTGAATTACATGGAGACAAACACCAAAGGTTAAAGATTTTAAAAACAGATTTATTAATGAAGAATAAACATAAAAAAAAAAATTAAAAACCAAAACTGTCTTGAAATGGACAGAAATGTAAAATAACGTGATAAACCATGGATCTTAACATATTTTTGTTTTTAAATGTTGGTAAATCCTTTGCAAAAGTGAAAGTACGAACATGTCATTAATCTTGAATGGGTTAACTGTTTTTAGATAGACGAATATAGTTGTAATTTAAAATGACTTTTCAGAAATTTCCATTTTCACACACAGATACATTTTAATGAGTAAAAATAGTGAGGACAGCAACCAGGACCATTGTTCGATGAAGTTCTGAGGGTAGAACAGTTGCCTCCAAATGTTTACACACCCATTTAGATCATACCATTTGAAAGGACACTGCCTACCTGTTGTGCATATTCTTCACAGCTTGGTCCTATTGGAACTACCATGACTTGACGGGGTGACAGCCAGAATGGCCTGGTGGAGAAATGAAACAAGAGGCATCACAATACTTAAATCTTCATATAAACAAATTGCGATTTGAAACTCAATTACACACCTCCAAATATGTCAACTGGCCAAAGATGGACACTTGTGCTTTAGAGGCACTTGTTGGGGAAGGCAATAAAAAGTAGGTCCTACTGTATATTATTGCCCTGCCGATTTTATAATATAAAAAGTCTACACAAGATATTTTCTAAGTGTGGCTAAAAGAAAGATACCAAGATAGAGGAAGTCTGAAACGCATCAAAAGTTGTTGGGTTGGTTGGATTGAGCGAGAGACACTAATTTAGCCTCCTAAACCAGTTTCTTAACTTAATCACTTAATGGAATCCTTTGTGTCTTCTTCACAAGGTTAAGGAGCCCCGTAGTGCCCTCCAGTAAAAGATTCTTTGAATACCCAAATTTTAGGACATCCGTCTTTGCTACCAATTATGGTCTCTTGTGACTAACTTCCCTTGGTTAATCCTAAACTTTCCTTCTGGATCAGTGCTCCTCTCATTGTGTGTGAGTATGCTATGGTTAAGTTATGTTTCCTATAATTAGAATGCCTTTCAAACTCCCATTACCGGCCAGGGTTTTTCTGGCATTCTTTTTCTATGTATTTTTGTCTGTTTTGTGCATGCATTTCGCCATTGTCTGTAAGTACAGTGATCGTTCATGGAGCCAGTAGGCTTGAACTTTGACCACAGTGAATCTCTAAACTGGTACATTTATATGAGGTCAGCTGTAACCCAGGACAGGTGTGTCCCTTTTAGTTGCACTTTACGCAAAGGGGCATGCAAATTCCAAACAAGCAAGAGCTCGGACTGAAAAAATGCAATTGCAGAGTCTAGATCTGGTATTAGACCTAATCTGTGCCATGGTATGTTCTTCAGATCATTTAAAAAGGATTCAAGATTACATTTTTTGAAAGACCTGGTAATTATAATCTTGGGAGGGGATTTGGTGGCCTTTATTTTGCGCATGCAGTACACTAGACAGCGGTCACTGAAACTGTTAGGGAGAACGCCCGCCTCCTGGATTCTGTCAGGACAGTTGGAGAGAATCCAATCGAGCAAGGTATGGTTCTGGCTTTTAATATTAATGCGAGTTGGGGAGAAATTTAATTGAAATTAATTAAAATGACGACAAAACGAAAGTAAATTAAAGGTGGATAGTTTCAGGAGGATAAATGATCAATCAATCATTATTTAAAGGACCACTATAGGCACCCAGACCACTTTAGCTCAATGAAGTGGCCTGAGTGCCAGGTTCCCCTAGTTTTAACCCTGCAGCTGAAAACACAGAGACACTGCTATGTTTACATTGCAGGGTTAATCAAGCCTCTAGTGGCTGTCTCTCTGTGTGATATTATTCTGAGAGATACAGTATTATTCTGAGAGATACAGTAACACAGGAAATATTTCCATGTTGTTTTCGTTTGCTGAACACAAAGATAAATTAGTTATACACACCATTTTCCAGCATAGTTTTCGCAAAGAATTGCTATCATTCTCTCCACTGAGCCCAAGATGGCACGATGAATAATAACCGGTCTCTTCTTATCATCTCCATCCTTGCTGCAAGTGAAGGATTTTAAAATAAAACTTTATTATTGATGTATACATGAACACACAGAAAATGACAATGTGTTAGGGCTCCCTAATTAAAATAAATCCATAGTGAAAAGAAAAGATTCTCCAATAACATATCTATGAAAAAAAGACAAAATGTTTCCAAATGGTTGGTCACGTACCTGGATCCCCCTGGTGCTTACAGCCCCTTTCATCCCATTTCACAGATATAGTTAAAGTGGAAGTTCTACTAACTATTCAGTCTTTAAATAAAATTCACTAGCTGAGAATGTGAACTGACACTCTTAACCAATTAATGAAATACTAGGTAAGTGCCAAACTCCTGGCACCATAACCACTACAGTGGGCTGTAGTAGTTATTGTGCGTAGAGTGCCTCTTTCTTTTCCAGCGTGCTCTGCTTGCTAACTCCACTTTAACACATGTTTAATATATCTGGCTAAACATAAGATACATGGCTGAGCAACAGATTACTTGCTTTTTATCACTCCTTCTTGGTGTGAATATGTAAAATAAAATAAAACATTTTTTTTTTGACAATCCTTATTTTAGATTTTTAGTTTTTAGCAGGAAAACAGGAATAAATTAGAATATGAGAGCAATTTATACTTTAATACATACTGTTGTCCTGGTATCAATTTCTATAGAGGCTAATAGCATAACAAAAACAATATGCATGGTATGCCAATGAACATTTCCAAAACAAGTGTTATCAAAAAGGGAGGTACAGAGAATTACTAATAACACTACACAATACTGCATTGGTTTCCACTGGCACTTATAGACTGGAGCTTGTGAAGTGAGTTTGTACCCCCTCCCCTTCCTTTGATACTCTTTATTTGCACATTTTATAAGAGGGATAACCATACAGTAGCATTCAGAATTGACATCAACAGTGCCTGAGTTACTGTGTGAAGTCAAGTTTCAGGAGTTGTACTGTTTACATAATATAAGGTTTACATGGTCATAAACAAGATGTCAGGACACCAAACACAACTTGTCCTTGAGTTTGCTAGGTCTCTAAGAGGGCCAGTGATTAAATAGCCCATAGGCAGGTCTCTAATCACAGCAGCCTGTGCCCAGTATATAGAACAGACAGAGAGGAGAGTGAAGAAAAAAAAAGAGGGGAGAACAGAGAGGGAGGAAACAAAGGGGGTGGTGGGGGGGAGAGGGGAAGGGATGCAGGGTGTTCAAAAGTGGGGGCTCTGCAATATCAAGCAGACATTTGGGTGTTCCTTAATAAAAAATAAATGTCACTTACCTTACATAAGTCAAGTTAAATCTAATGGGCAACTGGAAATCTAGTTGTATGGTAGCACACTGATGGTACCGGCCAATGGCGTCCCTGATAGTTATATCAATCTGAAATTAAGTACCGGATACATTAAAGTTTCCTAATGTTTTATATGCTTTATTACTGGGTTAAAATATACAAAAAGTAGCAGATTCCAGGTAACCAACCTTTGGGCCATAAAATGCTCCATCTCCTGGGTTTAGTTTCCATGGCTGGCCAAAATTGTTCAGACTGTTTTCAAGTTGCTATGGATACACAGAACAGTAAAATAAATTACGGTATGTAAAACACATCAAATAACTAAAGTAATAATTATACACGGGAGTTTTTAAAATGACCTTTTCAGCTTGATCCCAGATCTCTATTTCTCCCAGGTAATTCTCAGGTCTAGTTGAGAGGTGCAGTTGGAAAGTGAATCCAAACACATCATATACAGACTGCAAGAACTCTAAGCATCCTTTCATCTCCTCCTCTATCTGAAAAGGAGAAGTTGTAATATTAAAACAACATTATACCTTCACTGCAACCTTTGTTTTTGATTTGTCATAGCTGAAAGATGAGGCTTTGAGGCTTCCTTACAGTAGATATAATGTAATACATTATATACTCTGAAAAGGCACTATTTGCATGAAAAAAATCCCAAAGGGAACTATTATACTCACCAGAACAACTACATTAAGCTGAAGTTGTTCAGGTGACTATAGTGTCCCTTTAAAAATCCTTACATAAAACATATATTACACAAATTTGCATTACACAGCTACAAAATTGTTGACAATGTATAAATTTAGTCCTGCGAATGATTTTGGGTGAGATTCAAATACTGACCTTTGCCACCATTATGAGTGAAGAACCTTATTTAAAATGCAATCCGGGATATAGATCTGTTTGACTGAGGTTAGTGTTTGTATGTCAGCATAAGTGAGTATATTTTTGTGGCTATTTTACCTGCTCCATGGTGCAAAAAATATGAGCATCATCCTGTTGAAACCTCCTGACTCGGGTCAGCCCACTTAAAGTCCCAGAAAGCTCATTACGATGAAGGACACCAAAATCAGCAAACCGCAGAGGTAGTTCTCTCCATGACCGAGGACGGTGACCAAACATCAGGCTGCAAGCAAATATGAAATACTTCACTATACAAAAAGGCAGCTACTATTCCTTTTTTGGAATCTCACTTCAATACATATGTCCAAACTGCACTCAGTGAAAACTAACAGCAAATATAGAGAATATGTCTTGCTACCCAATGCATTTCACTGGCTTCTCCAGGATCACATTTTAACTTCCATACTCATTTAAAACCTGCACTTCACTTTAAGCTGAAATCTATTTCAAGTTCTAAATGCATAGGGATTATGGAAAGAAATAACAGAATGATGACACACTCAAGAAAACCAAAATAAATATCTGGCACAACAATTCCCTCTGGTGAACCGTCCACCATGACCACATGTTCTTCTATATTTAACAAGAGGACAGTATATTGTCTCACTTATAGAATACTTTCGATCTTAACTGGTGATGCTAATACAACTGAAGAGTTCAGTGAGCCAAAAAATATATATTTAAAAAAACAAAACATATTAATAACACACCTACTATGAAATATACTTTATGATTATTTTTGCATCAGTGAAAGTCAATGTTTTGACTGACAAACCATGTCTTCGTCAGGCTTGAGAAAGTTCGAGATACGCCTATTATTGATACAATTAGGCGTCATGAAGAACAATTTGTGCAAGTATTTTCTTTTACTTTGATATATACATAGTGTGATTACTGTTGCTCAGCATCATTAAAAAATAGTTTGGAAATTCAAGTTCCATATCCCCATCCATTTGTGAGGATTGCTTCAACTACTTCTACTCTATGTTAAACTTGTCAGTTGTCTAAGTGGCAAAATGCAACAAAGCTGAATGTGTTAGAGTGTATTTGTTTATGTTAAAATGGCACGTACTCCAAAACAGAAATCATATTATTTGGCGTTCTTCTACTTACCAATGTCCTGGACAGTTCATCGGTTTCAGAGCGAAGGTTTCTTTCTCTACCTCGAAGGAGAACATGTTCTCGCTATAATGCTGCCAGTGACCTGATGCCTCCCACAGTTTGCTGTTATAAATATTGGGTGTTGCTACCTCGGTAAAATATCGATTCTGGTATTCATCCTAGCAGATTATGGAAATAATGGTATTAAATACTGGTATGTCAAAAAAACATTTTTATAAACATACTGAAATCATAATGTGTTGCTTTACATGTGAAAGTATTATTTGAAATTATGATTACTGATAGTCAATGGATACTATTATCTAAACATTGTAATATTTAAAGGGATGGCTACACCATAATCAGTTCATCTCAATTAAGTAGTTATGGTACCTGGAGTCCCCTGGTGCCAGCTCATTGTCAAATTGTTTTTGAACACATTAGCCCAAGAATAGATGGGCAGCAGTGATTGGCTGGGATTGTCAGCTGAGCTCCCTTAGCCTATAACTGCCACCCGTTGCAGGTGTAAGCTGGTATGGATAAATCAGAGTGTAGCGCCACCTTAGCCATAGCTGTAGGTGCACAGGAACTCTCATTCAGTTTTAAACTGTTTAAAAACATTGAATTGTTAGCCAGCACCAGGGGACTTTAGGCATTATAATAATGTCAATGAAATTAGGTGGTTATGGTGCCAATAATATCCCATTAATATGCTAATATTGTGTAAATCCAACCACTAAAATATGTAAAAAATGTAAATGGGGGGGGGCGGGGCCGGGCCGCCGAGCCGAGCGGCAGCCATCCATGCTAGCTCCGGCTCTGGGCCACTTAAATACACCGCAATACTGCACCAAACGCTCACCCAGAGCCGGGGCAGAAACAAACAACAAGCAGGGAGCGGCACAGGAGACAAAACTGCAGGGATACCTGCCAAGCCGTCACCGCGCAGCCCGCACAGCCGGAGCACAATGATCCCAAGGGGCCTACGCATGCAGGACGACGGCAGGAGCCGCGAGACCAGATAGCTGAGGGAGAGAGGGGAGTCCGGACCCGGCCCCGCTCCCCCCCCCCTCGGGCCGGCGGGGGTAATCCCGGCCCATGAGTCGATCTCCGGTAGGAGGCCCACACAAGGCGGAGCCCTTTTGCACGTGGAGCTATCATGGCCGCAGAACACACGAGCCACTGGGAGCTACGCAGGGTCGCCAGGACCCACTGAGGCGACGGATCCCACAGACGGACCCCTCTGGGCGGCAGAAAGGTCGGTGGGGAGCCGGCCCTGGCCCCTGGATTTGGTGGTGGTCCAGGGAGGCCTACCCCCAACTCTGTGAGCCCTATGGCGCTGGTGTGGGTTGGGCCCCCGGCGGACCGGTGGCGGGGGGAGCAACCACCGGCGACATGCAAGAGGCCGGAAAACAGGCGAGGCCTACCGGGGCTGGAGCTCCAAGGGGGAACTGCAGGGGTTGGGGAGGTGCAGGGGACAGGAGCCCGGGGACTTCTCGGGGGGGGGGGCCTGCTGGACTACCGATGTCCCTGAGTGCCCACAGCACTGTGGAACCCTAAGCTGGCTGACCGGAGCAAGCCAGGAGGGGAACAGAGGGGATTGGCCGCACCGGGGGAGCTGGAGAGATCCTGCAATAAACACCCAGCGTGGCATAAAGATGCATCCAGGGCATAAACCTGCAAGAGGCCTCATAGAGGGAAGCCAGCTTAGAAGCCTCACAGGAGGCCATTAACCCCATGCTGGACATTTCTCCTCACCAGGCATTACAGCGCCATCTCCGGTGGAGAGACTCATATAATATTGTTTCTCAGATACAGCTCAGCATATACCATGTCGATGACATAATTATTCCTAATATCAATACACTTGATCCATGACATGCTTATTTTCCAATTAGCTAGACACTGCTATACTGTTACAGATATGATGTAATGTTGATGACATAATTATTTCTAATATCAATACACTTGATCCTTGACATGCTTATTTTGCAATTAGCTAGACACTGCTATGCTGTTACAGACAGGATATATCAGTACCTCACGGTGCCTGACTAATATATCATTTTCACCATATATGTTTACCGCACCATACTTATTGGCGGTTATTTAAGCTTAACGAAGCCCTTCATGTTGAACATGCACAGTGCTTAGCATCAGCATCTGCTCGCTTCTATATACTCTCATCAGTAGATCCTAAACAAGTTAAGCATTATTGGTTTGTTTTTGCATATATCTATTTTTTTTTTTTTCCTATAGTACCTGCACGTTATATCCGAAACGCCTCTGCGTAGGCAACCATAGGCTTTACCTGCTTGTAAAACAAATCCGCCTCTGCGCAGGCAACCAAAGGAATACTGAGTTAGATCACTGTTGCAGCCCCTGCGTGGGCAATCTTTTGCTTTATTATAAATCAGTTTGATACCTAAATTCCTATTGTGCATAAAATAAAAATATTCAAAACAAAAATGTAAATGGGCCAGCATATCTCCAAGTACCAAAACTGATAAGATAAGAATTTTTATGTATTAGGATTACAAAAATAAAATCACACCCCTGTTTTATGGAAACATCCATGAGAAGTGTTATAATTCAATCTAAAGCGCATGAAAATAAATTGTGCAGCAAATGTAGAAAATAAGTCAGCTGCCACACAATCGAGGCCTGGCTAAAAAGTAAAACATGAGGGAATATCTGAGTTAAGTCATAAGCAGCTACCCAAATGGCTACAACGAGCAAACCATTAAAAAAAATTCTTATTTACGTTTCTGACCACAAACCTCACAAGGTATTCCTTTTATTGTCTCTTCTTCCTCTCTCTCCCTGTCCTTTGCTCTTTTTATTTTTTCTAATCGTCCTACTAATTAATGGAGTTATTATGTGAAATGTAACTGTATCTTCTACTGTATATTGTAGCAAGCTTAAAACCTCAAACAAATGTTTAATTTCAAAACAAAATTGCTAAACATTATTCCTCATTTCAAGGAAAGGTTAAAGGATCTTAACCTGTATAGCTTGGAGGAAAGACGAGACAGGGGGGATATGATAGAAACATTTAAATACGTAAAGGGAATCAACACAGTAAAGGAGGAGACTATATTTAAAAGAAGAAAAACTACCACAACAAGAGGACATAGTCTTAAATTAGAGGGACAAAGATTTAAAAATAATATCAGGAAGTATTACTTTACTGAGAGGGTAGTGGATGAATGGAATAGCCTTCCAGCTGAAGTGGTAGAGGTTAACACAGTAAAGGAGTTTAAGCATGCGTGGGATAGGCATAAGGCTATCCTAACTATAAGATAAGACAAAGGACTAATGAAAGTATTTTTTTAAAAATGGGCAGACTAGATGGTCCGAATGGTTCTTATCTGCCGTCACATTCTATGTTTCTATTTCTGGATGAGTGATGGGAGAAGTGGCTAAATCTGAGTCTTGTGAATCCAAGTTATTTTTGTCATCCCTGTTATTTTGTATTATTTCATATTTCATGCTTTATGGTTTTTTTTTTGTAGTTCAGTACTGTCTGGGGTTCTAACACTGCTTAGTATTCAGGTAAGTTTTAATGCCGGAAATCCCGCAGTCTGTTACTGAACTTTGCTCATAAAACTAGAGGCAAGTGTTAGTCAATGAATGTAATTTCAGCTCGTGATTTGTTGCATAATCTGGACTAGACTAAAACACACTTACTGTATTGCACTTACTTTAATGAATTCAATGAGGGTGTTATAAATATGGGCTCCTCGGGGCATAAAGAAGCAGCTGCCTGGACTCAGCTCATGAAAGAAGAAAAGTTCTTGTTCCTAGGATGGGAATGAAGACATGTTGTTGCCTGTAGTTGATACGTCTATACAATATATAAGGTAAGATCTGGATCCAGAAAGCCCCAATATAATCAACTCCCAAAGAGAATGCAATAGCTTTAAAGGTCTACACAAAAAATATCAGCCAGGGGAACATGTTTTACTGTTTATGCTTCTTATCCATTAATTAACACTTACATTTTGGGGTATTAGTGTTTTAGGAATTTGCCGATTTAACAGTTCCATCAATGTGCTGCTGAATTGTCTTAAGCAGGATTGTGTACTCCAAATGTTGAGGATTTAATGTGGGACATTGGGCACGTTTTAACCAATCCAATAAAGGTAAAAATATTTTAAAGAGTAACAGAACAATGGGATTGTGATTTCAGCAACATTGTTAAGGGTTAACTGGCAGCCATCAATGTGTACTGGTATATACTAGTATATAGGATTTAAATACCTTTGTGATTAAATGTTCCATTATATGATTGTATTGAACAGAAATCATCCCTTCTTAAAACTCGGTAAGACCAACACATACCTTTCCAATTTTCCTGTGGTCTCTGTTTTTGGCCTCTTCCTGCATTTTTTCCCATTCTTTCATTAGTTTGGTATCAGGAAAGGATATTCCGTAGATTCTTTGTAGAGTTTCCATATCAGCCTTCCCTTCCCAGTATGTTGAAGAATTCTGTAATTTTATATTGGTTTAGGAAGAAAGTACATAGAAAGTGTTGCTTGATAAATCCACGAACATTTATTTTTTTCCCCATATCTATTAACCTTCATTATTTAACCAACATTATGGCATGCTTGCGTTACATTTGCAGAAGTCGGTAGATTTACAGCAACATTTACAGAAGTCGGTAGATTTACAGCAAAGGTTTCCCAAGACATAGTTCTGCCACTAAAATGACTTGCTCACCTTATATATTTTTAAGGCTTTAATTTTGCCAGTGTGTCTCACATGGGGTCCTCTACACAAGTCAATAAGAGGACCACATCTGTAAACATGAAATATATTGAAAAACAATTATTTAGCAAGCAAATACATAACTCAAATATGGAAATGCACAACTATCGGGATTCCCCTGATCACAACCCAGAAATGTACAGGCTTTATTCACTAAGGTGAGACTTTCAAATTTAAAGGGACACTCCAGACACCCAGACCACTTCTGCCCATTGGAGTGGTCTGGGTGCCAACTCCCACTACCCTTAACCCTGCAACTGTAAATAATGCAGTTTTCGTAAACTGCTATATTTACCTTGCAGGGTTAACTCCTCCTCTAGTGGCTGTCCTCACGCTATTGACGTCCTCACGCTATTTGAGGACCTCCAGCGTCGCTAAAATCCCCACAGGGAAGCATTGAAAGCATTTTTCAATGCTTTCCTATGGAGAGGTCTAAGGCGCATGCGCATGAGGTCTCACCCCACCGGCAGCCGCGCATGCACAATCGGTCTCCCCGCCGGATGACGTCTGCGGGGGAGGAGCGGCGAGGGACATCAGCGCTGGACTCCGGTAAGTCACTGAAGGGGTTTAAACCCCTTCAGCAACCTGGGATGGGGGGTGGGAGGGAGAGGGGACCTGCAGTGCCAGGAAAACTGGAATGTCCCTTTAAGCCAACACTAGCCGAATGTTAAGCATAACTGACTAATTGAGAATGTTTCCAGTTCGGCTATTTTGACTTTGAAATTCTTACTTTAGTAAAAACCCATGTTACAAAAAAGGGCAGATGTGATATAAAACAATCAGATGTACGAAAACTCTGAAATCTCAGACACAAATAGGGTTTAAAACCACACAGAGAATTCCATAGTCATTTGTATTATTGGTTTGTACAAATCGGTATCTCGCTGTACAAACTCCAAATGTAATAGTTAATAGTGTTTCACTTTCAGATTGCAGAAAGTTTGAACGTACAAAAAGCCTCTAGTGGTGAGCGATTGCAATTACCATTCTGATGCCATTTCCATGTAAAAAATGAAAAGATGATGTGCATCAAATAATGTTGTGCACCGTCATTTCCATGCAATACTTACATAGAAACATAGAATGTGACGGCAGATAAGAACCATTCGGCCCATCTAGTCTGCCGATTTTTCTAAATACTTTCATTAGTCCCTAGTCTTATCGTATAGTTAGGATAGCCTTATGCCTATCCCACGCATGCTTAAACTCCTTTACTGTGTTAACCTCTACCACTTCAGCTGGAAGTAAAGTAATACTTCCTGATATTATTTTTAAACCTTTGTCCCTCTAATTTAAGACTATGTCCTCTTGTTGTGGTAGTTTTTCTTCTTTTAAATATAGTCTCCTCCTTTACTGTGTTGATTCCCTTTATATATTTAAATGTTTCTATCATATCCCCCCTGTCTCGTCTTTCCTCCAAGCTATACATGTTAAGATCCTTTAACCTTTCCTGGTAAGTTTTATCCCGCAATCCATGAACCAGTTTAGTAGCCCTTCTCTGAACCCTCTCTAAGGTATCAATATCCTTCTGAAGATACGGTCTCCAGTACTGTGTACAATACGCCAAGTGAGGTCTCACCAGTGTTGTGTACAATGGCATGAGCACTCTTTCTACTGCTAATACCTCTCCCTATACAACCAAGCATTCTGCTAGCATTTCCTGCTGCTCTATTACATTGTCTGCCTACCTTTAAGTCATCAGAAATACTTGAGTCTCTGCTAAATATTTCTTTTTTTGTGATAGATCTCCGAGTATGAATAAAGGACCCTGCATTCTGCACGTTCGTAAACAGACATCAGGAAAATCACTATTCACTTTAAGGCTCAGTTTCTTCTCTGAATACAAAGCAATGTCAAATAATTTAAACATCCTGTCTCTCTGATGCCCTCATAAATCAATGCTGGAGCAGGATAAAAAAATAATAACAACAATAAAAATAAAATGAAACACATGTGCTTTAATCACCTGTATACCGTTGTAGTTGGTGTGTCAACCTTCTCATTCAAAATGCGGCACTTGAATTTGTTATACTACATGCAAACAAAAACATTGCAATACAGTTAAAGAAGTAACAAACAGCAATCGGGTTCCAAATAATGAAAATACATCAGATGCGTTAAAACAATATACCTATTCTTTGTGAAGTGAGGCTACGGAGAAACTTATTGTAACTCCATAGCCAACACAGAAATACAGCAGAGCAGACACAGCGTACATTCTTTACATTTCACTATACCGTACCTTGAACATTTTTAATAGCAGATCTTTACTGACTTCCAGCCTTTCAAAAGGTTGCTTCTCCTTAATAATGGATTTACACATGTTCTCCAGAACTGGGAACTCGTTGCTTGAAACCCCCCTACAGAAGCAAATATACAGACAATCAGAAAGCTGGGCTAATACATTATTTAAATGTTGAGAATTGTTAGCTATGATTATACACATATAAACACAGGGACAGTAAAAGGACTACCATGATGTTTTTTTGAGGAAAACACACAGACTTCACAAATGACTGATTATAAGACTGAGAACCCCTGCATTAACAGACACTATTTATATGAGGCCCCGCATGCACACAAGGCGAGTATTTACCTGTCCTCTAAAAACATATCATAATAAAAGCCATTTTCAATGGGTGGTCCGTAGCACAAGCAACCTCCGTAATAGTTCTCCATTGTCTCTCCAAGGATGTGAGCACTTGAATGCCAGTAAACCTATATAAGTTGATCATGTAAACACAGAAGTAAATTAGAAAATAAAAAGTGTAGAAATGTGGAGCTCTTGTTTAAGACTTAGCTTGAGTCCCTCGTTCTTCTGGTTCCTTGTGTCACCATGTCTGCATACCGTTCTCCTATTCTCTTCTTGTGGAAGATGTTCTCTTTGATTATTTCTCTGCAATACCCCTATATACTTTCATAGCCTTCCCACTCCCCTAACAGTGTTCCCCCTCTTTCTTTCCACTAATGCAAGTCCCCTTCTACCCTTCTTTTTTATACCAGTATATACCAATCAACAACATCAACAATCAACCAATATACCTATTAACTTTCTTACCATCAGCAGCACCAGAACTATCTGCAATATCACATTTTGGAGAAAAGCTCTGAACTTGGAACAATTACCATGGAAACCAATTAAATACTCCTTCTTGTTACACTTGGGCCACTAAATGTAATTAGTAAAAAAACACCCCAAGCCCTAAATGTATAGGGCAGATACTGGGACGACTGTATAACCACAGAATCCCCAGCTGGATGTGTGGTTTAAATTAGTATATTTCTGTTTGTATCATAAAAACACAGCTAAGACAGTATTGTGAATAGCATTTGGAAGATGCAACAACATAGTTTTACTTACTGCTTGGGCTTCCTCATTGTCAAATGGAAGCAGCTCCACAACCGAGTCTCGTTCTAAGGGCCGGTCTAAGTCCCACAGCTCATTGTTCACTTTAGCTATGACGATATTATCAGCCAAGCCACGACTATAGAGAATGGAAGGATAAAAAAAAATATATATCTAAATTGCAAGTGTAAACAGTCTCACGTATTAAAATAAAACACATTTTATGTACTCGTTTACAATATATCAGTATACAGTATACTGAATATTCTTATTTTATTGTCTATATAAACAAACAACATGAATAACATGTGTTCTATATATTATCATTGCCCTACTCAATGACACTGACTTTATTTATATTATGACAAATGGGAAAAAGAACCTACAACTACGATGTTTGAGATGCTTCTAGGACTAATGCATTTAATAACTCAGCACTCTCCCACTTTTGGTATTAAAGCGACCCTGTCATCAAATATTTTCTTGGTACTGTTATATGGTGCTTTAAAAAAAAATACTCAGGGGTAATAATTCTTGGAGCTTAAAGGGAACCTATAGTTACAAAAATAATATTTTTTTTTCCCTGTACTATGAGTTCCCTGCCATTGCAGTGACCCCTTTCCATGGCCTTTCGTTCCCAGACACTGTCATGGCAGCTGGCCACTCTGCAGAAAGCATGCTGACGTGTGTTGTCTTCTCATCTAGTTCAATGCTTCTCATTGAGGAGCATTGGGGATGAGAAGTTCATGTGCAATAGGCACTCTTCCAATTAAATGTTCTCAATGAGAAGCTCTACATGGGAGACAGCCACTAGAGGTGTGTTTGCTGTGTTTCCATGACGGGAACGTTTTACATTGCAGGACTATGAGTATAGGGCCACTGAACAAAGACCACGTTTTGGAGAAATATTTTTTTATAATCACAATGCATTTTATATAGTTTAAAATTATGACGCAATTCCAAATGACCAGTTCCATGCTTTAGAAACTCAGCTATCTCAATTCTAATTAGAATTAGCTTTACTATAGTTTGGATAACGAATAAAATGTTATCAAATGATTCACATAAAGAGGATTTTGGTCGCAATGAAGCAGATAAAATAAATTCATAAAAACTGAAACACTGATTTACTAATAAACATAATCAAATACTTTATCAGCAATACTCGTGATTAGGGAACTTTACCTATAAAGTAAATCTGACACTCTTAAGAGACCACTATAACAAACACCCTGACAATCGTAACAAGCAAACCGATGTGCCTGCCTGGTTAATTACCTAAAATACTGAACTTTGCATTTCACCTCTATATGGTCACAAAACAGCACACAACACTTGTAATGTGGCTGCTTGGACACAGGAACCTCTGCCACAGGATCAGTGCATGGGATCAAAAATATTTCTTGTATGTGTGAGAGATCAGCAAATGTTATATGTCTACTCATGAGATATGGAATTGTGGAATGATGTACACTAAGAATCTCTTACACCTAGTTCAAAACCACACAGTATTCTAAACAACATTAAAGTTAAGAATAGTTTGTCAAATTTGGACTTCCCATTATCTTTAATGTTTACTGTATTGTTATGTCTTAAATTGGTGATACAGTTGTTACCAGATGTCTTCGGTGACCTTAATCTGTTCTAAAGAATAAAATATAAATGTGATGACAAACAGACAACTTTTCATTTCAAACTACATGGGATGTATTAACTAAACAGTGCACTGTAGTGAAAGCCCAAACTGTAAAATGTAGATTTATCTGTTTTAATATCCTAGTGGAATCTAAAATAACTCCTAAAGATTCATTTTAAAAATAGTGAGTTTTATTGAACTGAAAATTAAAAAGTGAAATTCTGTCTTAACTAGAATGTAAGCTTGTTTGAGCTGGGCCAAATTCGTTGAGCCGGAAACATTCTCTAATTCCAGTTTGACTTTGGCCTTAAATTGAAAAATTAGTTTGAATTCTCACTTTAGTAACTAACGCAGTATGGCATTAGCTGAGCTAGGATATTTTTTAATTTTCAAAAATGTTTTTTTGCATTTTGCAGTTTGGTTAAGAATTAGTGAATACAAGTAACTGACTCGATGACATTTTACCTAATCCCAGCAGCCACTTGATACGGAGTGGTTCTCCAGGATTCCCCATCAATAACATTTCCATTAGCTAGGGTGATCTTAATTGGCTGGCTTTGGTTTGCAGCCCGATCCGCAAGCAAAGCATCATGGTTTTTCTTCAAGATTTCGTAGAGTTGTAGCCTGTCTGTAATAAATCCTGCAGCACTGCATGCCTGCGGATTAAAAAGACAAGCTCATATGAACGTCAAGACCACATTACTGCTGTAGATGAAAAATACAAAACCTATACTAATTGATCTGCAAATTAGTACCTATACAATAGGAGAAATAAGTAGAATGTTATGAAAGACCATTACTTGTTTCTCCAATGCAAGTTCGGCCTGGAATTAATCTAAACTAAATGTTAGAATGTGCAGTTGTCCACTTCATATATGTTCATAGAGTTGAACTTGAGAGTGATACAGTTTATACTACGTCCTGCCTGTCTCGTACCAGAGGGTATTAGAGTATTAGTTAGATGGGGATGGTAGCAGCAAGGAGCTGTATCTTATCAGAAATGTTAAGTTTCCTTTATGAAGAAAATGGTGGTGTTTTTTTTCCTCTATGAACAATATATATATACATATATATATATATTTTTAGACACAGCTGGGGTAAATATATTAAAAGTCCATAGATCATTTGCACATACAGTTTTGTACACAGATATTTTGAGTGAGACTGAGCATCAAATAAATTACATAGTTACACAGCTGAAAAGAGACTTGCGTCCATCAAGTTCAGCCTTCCTCACATGTTTTTGCTGTTGATCCAAAAGAAGGCAAAAAAGCCCAGTCTGAAGCGCTTCCAATTTTGCAACAAACTAGGAAAAAATTCCTTCTTGACCCCAAAATGGCAGTCAGATGTCTCCTTGGATCAAGCAGCTATTACCCCACTAATTAGAAATTATATCCCTGTATGTTATGTTTTTGCAAGTATTTATCCAATTGCTGTTTAAACATCTGTATGGACTCTGATAAAACCAGCTCTTCTGGCACAGAATTCCATATTCTTATTGCTCTTACTGTAAAAAAAACCTTTTCTTTGCCTTAGATGAAATCTCCTTTCTTCCAGCCTAAATGTGTGACCTCGTGTATAGCCTGATTATGAATAGATTTCCAGATAATGGTTTGTACAGGCCCCAAATATATTTGTATAATCTTATCATATCTCCTCTGAGGTGCCGTTTTCCCAAAATAAAGAGATTTCATTTTTTTTTTAACCTTTCTTCGTAACTAAAATGCTCCATTCCTTTTATCAATTTTGTAGCTCGTCTCTGCACTTTTTCTAGTGCCATAATATCTTTCTTTAGAACAGGTGCCCAAATTTGCACAACATATTCAAGGTGTGGTCTTACCAGCGATTTATAAAGAGGCAAAATTATATTTTCATCTTGAGAATTTATGCCCCTATTTATACATGACAAAACTTTACTGGCCTTAGTAACTGCAGATTGACAAATAATTCGCCTCATACAAATAAAGTGTTTGACATACAAAAATCAGTATTGCCAGTTAGATAAGACAATACATATTCCCTTTATGCATCTGGGGATCATTTAGTCCGAGGAAATACTTCTCTTGGATCAAATAAGCCCAAGACCGTTAGTAATCCAACTGGTGTCAGGTGAAATATGATCCATAAAACATACATAACTTAAAACAGACCAAGGCGGGGACATCCTTGGAGGAAGAGAGGGAGTTATCTCGGTCCCCCAACCATCTATTAGGAAAGAAAAAGGGCCAAGTCTCTATGTGAAATGGGACCATACCAAACAGAGCTTATTGTCTATAAAATTTGAATTTTATAGATTTTAACCCTGAGGTGTAAAGTTACAATATTCAAACCAAACAGACCAGATTTTTATATATTTTTTAGTATTCCTATTAGTAAAGAAAATGTTTATTTTTCCATTTTCCCTTGATTTTGTTTCTACCATTTACCAAGTCCGGCCTTCCATACTGAGGTGACATCACTAGAAATGGACAGGGAGTCCTGGAACAGCCCCCGAGCAATATAAGGGGAGGCCCCCAAGGCGATTTTAAAAGTCTCCATTCTGTGAGTGTACTGAGCACAGCGCACATTAACTGTACTTTTATTGTATTACGCTATTGCACGGTTTTTTTCATTTTTGTAGCTCTCCAGCTGCATCCTCTGTATTTTGTTTGGATTTATATAGGATAGAGTCTGGAATATCCTGAGAGGAAGCTATGATATATTTATCCAAGATAAGTTGATTTTGTTTGTCACACACATCTTATATTGGTGTAGGTGTATTTTTGTTATAAATGTACACATTTTTAAGTTTGTCGGAAAACCTGTACACCAAAGTGCTGTTTTATTATATTTGTATATGCTAGCTATGGATCCTTTGCTTCAAATAATGATATATATATATATAATTTGAAATCAACAACAGCTCGGTAGTGAAGGGGTTAAACATTAAACCTAGGAAGGGAGGAGATTGTGAAAAGAGGTGGTAATGCGCATAGAAAAGCATCAGGCAAAGGTACCGTATGAACAAACGGCTTCTATACTTGAATGTATCCCGCTGTGTCACTTTTGAAATGTATATTAGGAGAAACCTCTTCTAAAGAGAATAACTTTATTTTCTTTCACTTTTATTAAAGCTTATTAACTGCATTATGGATACAACACAAAAAAAAGTTCTCCTTCATCTCAAGTTGGCACCATTCCCTGGCAAAGCCTCTTCTGTTTTGGGTTTTTGTCATATTTGTGTAACATAAAAATAAATTTAAAATATTTTAGAAAATATTTTTTTTCATTGAAAATACAGATATATTAATTTGTAATTATACAGATAATATATCTCTGATAAGATACGCTATAACTCATAAAATCTTAATTTCCAAAAACAGCTTTAAAAAAAACCACTCCAAGTACCATAACTGCTACAGCGCTATAAAGTGGTTATGGTGACAGGAATGCCCCTGTGGGCCTTCAGTGTAAGTAGTCAAACGTTTTTCTAGCAATCAGTTGACACTCTGTGCAGGAAAGCTTCTAGCAGGAGCTCTCAGATTGAAATGATTGGGATTGCATATACCTGGGAAGAGGTCAAGCCAGGTCACATACGGTTTGATGTCAGTTTACGGAATGCTGTTGAGGTTAAGGTTCCTGGAAAGATCCTTTAAATAAGGAATGGCAGCAAATTGTTTCAACAAGCTACAGTTTTACAAAGCTGTGTATTGAGAGGTAACTACAAAGTTCATTTTCCTTAAAACCTTTCCTTTTTTGAATAGGTAAGACAGATTTATACAATTAAGGAAATATCCATATATACTGTAACCGCATGGCTGATTGCATTACGGTTGTGTTTAGTGAAAAAAAAATGACTCGTTAATATTAGAATACAGTGGTACCTCGGTTTACAAACACCTCGGTTAACATAATTTTCGGTTTACAAATGAAAATCCATTGAAAATAATGCCTCGGTTTACAAATTTTATTCGCAATACAAAGCAAGCTTCCCCAGGATGCATTGCACCTGGGAGGTTTATAGCACCGCCCACTGCATGCTGGAGCCTGTGGGTAGCACGTGGCATCGAGAGTGGAGGTGTTGGAGCGGCTTTTGCATCGAGTTTTGGAGCCATTCTGGAATTTTTTTTGCAGCGTTTTTGGGTGCATTTTTCAAGCTGTGGAAAGATAGGGAGCTGAGCTTCGTCGTTTGCATGGCTTTTACTGCATTGTAAGTTGGTTTCCATGCCAGCTCATTTTGACTTTTTTCTGACCTCCAGAACGGATTAATTGGTTTTCAATGAATTCCTATGGGAAACCGCGTTTTGGTTTACAAATTTTTCGCAATACAAAACATCCCGGAGAAAGCATTAAAAATTAATAAATCGAGGTACCACTGTACAACACATTTTACATTGTTCTGAATGTTTGTCTTCTATTGGCTATCGCATTTACAAACAGATGTTTAGTGAAGGTACCTGCTCACATGGTCAGTATTGTATTCTCCCCAGAGTGTTTATTTAATGGTATTTTAGGAGCTCTTGAAACCTTGTAATTCCCATTATGGATTGTGGTTGCCTTTCTCCTCTCGACTTACCTTCTTTATTATAGATAACCAAAACACACAATGGGCTACAGGACGGACCTAAACAGTAACCACAGCCAATGTAAATACACAACTACTCAACTCTCCATAATATACACATAGAAAAAAAATCAATTAAAAAGGTATACGCATATTTCAATGTTTTCTATGTGCAGATGTAATAAAGGGTGTAGCAGATTTCTAGCAGTAGAATAATTATAACATTTACATTTTTAAATATTCAGTACAAGACCATAAATTCCCTTATAATTATGTCTAGATAAAAATTCTAATCCATATTCACGTCTGTTCATTGCCGAATGTCATGTGGGAACAAAAGTGCAAAAATTATTTTACCAAATTCTTTTTTACTGAGAAGAAGAGCTCAATGAATTGTAATTGTAGATAGAGAATCTCACAAAATAGGCTGCCATTGAATTTTTTTTTTTTTTTTTAAATCCTTTATTTCTCAGAAATAAAAAACAAACAAAAAACCAACAACTTAAATAATGACTATATGGATAATTCCATAGACATTCTGTACAATAACAATGCTGCTTAAACACTACTTTTCCATTACCGTAATACAAATTAGCTCTGATAGATTATTCAACTTATTAGCAAATATCGGTAAGTTATATTTTTCAAATGAATTATAATGATGCAGTGATTAAATAATGATAATTAATGGTGAATGTTTTAGTGTGGCTCTCCTTGCCTATTCATTGAAGTTGAGCTATCATCTTCACAAAAGGAGTGATGATCAGATAACGCAGTAATCAGTTCTGGCTGTGGAAAGGTATTCTCAGTCCCTATGAATGATGTAAGAGGACAAACCTTTCCAGTACAATACCTCCATACCAACACAGGAACAAGCCAGACTGCTCTTTGTGCCATTAAAAAGGGCACGGGTCCCGAACACTCAAAGTGTGAAGCTTACCAGTAGGAATACTATGTAATTCAGCTAAATATTTCAACATGTGCAGCACTTTTTGGGAATTTTTTGTCTATAAGACACTCCCCTGTAATTAATCTCTTAATATACTGATGACATGCAAGTATGTACATAAAAGGATTGCCTGCTGTAACAAACAGAGGGATACTCACCAATGTGAGAATTCAAAGTAAATTTCAAATTAATTTATTGATTTATTTTTAATTCTTTATTTAAGAGACAAGTCACACAAGTACTTTGACAGTATGACAGTATGATCTGCAGTAGTGGAGTACAATGCCAGCTTCAACCAAAGTTTACTACTATAATTGAAGAAGAAAGAAAAAAACACACTGCGAGGAGCTAAAATAGGTCATCCTGAGACCTGGCTCTATTGGGAACTGAATTTTAAATTTAAGTTCAAATTAGCAAAACGAAAAGGTTCACTAATTTGCTATGCATTCAGTTAAGTTAATCTGGCCTTAAATTTGAAATTCACTTTGAATTCTCACTGTAGTAAATAACTACAGTTAGTTATTCACTTAAGTGTGAATTTTCAAGACAGAGATTCTATAGGAATTCTGGATAGAGTATACTTCAAATTTTATGTCAAAAAATCTGAAATAAAAGAAAGACAACAAAGAATATTTTCTATTATTGTGGATTCATTTTGAAATCCAATTGAAATCCTCACCATGCACGCTTGAGTGAATAACACAGAGATCTTGTTTTAAAAACAGTCATATTTTTCAATATATATTACATATCTTATTTTCCTACTAAGGTACAATATCAAATAATTATTATTATTGGGCAACAGCAGGATCACATCACCCTTCCCGTTTGCATCGAGGTAAATCTGTTACTGACATAATCAGTTTGTTCCGATGAACCTTTGATGCCTCTGTGGGTCATGTATGGGTTGTTAGTAGAATACATGTCTCAATGAGCCAGTTTGTTGGCTAATGGAACGTCTCGCTACAAGTTAAAAGTTATGGAGAGGCTGGTGGATCCCAAAGGAGAGGAATCCACATAAGAGGGGAAAAAAATTAAAACAAAATGGAAAAGAATAATCTCATCTCAGCATCTTAGTATTAAATGTTCTGGATTTCTGTCCATGTAACATGAGAAAACATAAAATATTATATTTGAGTATTCTTTTGATAAACACCTCTCGAAGCATGGCAGTACAAACTGTATCAACATTAACCAGGTAACTAGTAAAACTCTAGCTCACATCTTCATTTTAACATACGGAGAGCTGGGGGGAGAAGAGAGAGAGAGAAATATAAGTTAATCAACATTTAAAAATAATAATAAACAAAACAAAAACTTAACTGAAACTTCATTGTCTTAACTTGGTGTTAATTTTAGTGTTATCACTTACATTTTGGATGTGGTCCAATTAGATCTTCTGTGGAACAATCTGACAGAGGCATGCCTTTCTTCAGTAACAGTAAATAGTTATCTGGTGACTACAGAGAAATAAAAACACCAACATTTGCCTTAATACGACCAATAATTATGTTTAGCATATATACATTAATATAATAGTGTAAAAAAAAAGAAACAATAATACCCCCTTTCATTTTTGGGGTTATTGTCTGTAAATATGACTATTTGGTAAAATGTATCAACTGGTATTTCACCGTTTCTACAAATTTATTGAGAAAAAAAAAAAACATGCATCTAATGTTTTACATATTAAATAATCAAATAAAAAGATGCTGCTTAAATAAAATAAATAAAGCATGTCAATATACTGAGAATAAATACCAGTTAATACATCTATTTTAAGTATTAAAATAAAAAGCGGTTTAATACTCTCTTTCCTATGTGCTTAATTTAAAGTGGAATTACATTAGAATTGTGTTTGTGACTTCTATTGGTGACCAGTGATCTTGTTGCAGCATACAATTGCAAACAAGTTTTTTCCACATTTATAGTGCTTGTAACAATAAGATAATGTAGAAAAAGGAAGAACAAACAAAGGAAAAAAAAGATTAATATAACAATAATAATAATAGTAACACACAAGACCCAAAAAGTTTGAGGAGCCGCCTGTTCAGTAAAACAATCATTAGGCCTTGTTTTTTTCAGCTGGTCTTAATCAATTAGTTTTCAATTATTTATAATTTTGTGGTTAACATTGTGTGTTTTTCTTGAGCACCAGTTTTTTTTTTAACTGTATAAATCTTTTTCTCTCGCTCCCTCTTATGCGAAGGCATTTTTGCCATGTTGAGAAAGTGTAGGGGTTTTTCTATATAATTTTCTGCCTTTTCCTGCCTGTGACTTTCTGAGAAGAGAGATATAATTAGGAGATCCAAATACTGTAATTACCTTCACTTTTAATCTCTTACAAATATATTTAATACAGTTAAGTTTTGTTTCTGATTACTTTTTTCTTTTGTTTGTTCTCACTGGTTACTTTTTTCCTTTTGTTTGTTCTCAAAATGTATCATTTTAGACATGATTAACTTATATCGGTAGTATCATTTAAAACATACAAATAAATCTGTAAAAGTTGAAAAACAAAAAACAAAACATAAAATGTAATATTGTAGAGAGTGGTTATACTTGGCATACTCACTAAACTAAGCCTTGTGAACCGAAGTCTATCCAGCTATACGTCTTTGAATTTGCATAGCGCACAAACAGGGAAAGTCCGGTACTATGTACTTACTGGATCTCTGAAGAGAACTTTCCATGTGGTGCCTGGTGATTTATAATGTACATCTTCCTTCAGTTCTAGCCATCTGGGCAACTTGCAGTCGCTTACATTTGCCAGTTGGTCCTGAGTTGCTGGCTCTCGGTGCTCTTCCAACCTTAACAGAATCATGACTCCTGCAGGTTCTTTCAGTACCTCCTAAGGAAAGGTTTTATAGCAGGATTATTACATTAAGGCATAAAAAAACAAAACATTAACTAACACATGAATATGATGATTACACAGGTAAAATATACTCACATCAAGTGGAAAGATGATCTTCCATGGTCGACAAGAAGCGTCCCAATATTCTCTTCTGTAGAGGAGTTGTAGGAAGTCTGGTAGTCTACCATGGCAGTTTGAGACATGTGCCCCCACTGGATGAGCATGTTCCGCTGTTCCAACTCCAATTCCATTTTGCAGCGTTCCCTGCGTCGGTTATGATGCAAAAGAGCAAAAACGATAGTAGTGTCTCTTCATGTGGTTGAGGTTACACCCATGAGAGTCAGATCTTGGCAGAGTTATGTCTCACGGGGCATTTAATGGAACTCCCATTGAAAGATAAACCAACAAACAAAAAGTAAAAACTTTATTTGCTTTTTAAGACTTAAATATCTTCAAGAAAGACGAGTAACCGCAGTGCATGTCTTTGTACCTTGATATGATATGTATGCCTAGAGTGTCGTGGCTCTTCTCCTCCTTGACCACAATGAAAATTTAGAATCAATACTTAAAACATAAACTAAAAAAAAAAGTCACTAGGCAACTAGTCACTACTACGTGGGCAATATATGCCAGGTATTTGTTTGTAGAAAGACCAGGTTATATATACACAATGTATATTCGTTTATAGAGAGAGTTGCATATACATACAAGATATATATGCCTACGTAGGCAGTAAGGGATATTTTATATATACAGTATCTCACAAAAGTGAGTATACTCCTCATATTTTGTAAATATTTTATTATATCTTTTCATGTGACAACACTGAACAAAAGTGAGTACACCCCTAAGTGGAAATGTCCAAATTTGGCAAAAAGTGTCAATATTTTGTGTGGCCACCATTATTTTCCAGCACTGCCTTAACCCTCATGGGAATGGAGTTCACCAGAGCTTAACACTCCCCCACCTTCTGTTTGAGGATGCCCCACAAATACTTAATAGGGTTTAGGTCTGGGGACATGCTTGGCCAGTCCATCACCTTTACCTTCAGCTTCTTTAGCAATGCTGTGGTCGTCTTGAAGGTGTGTTTGGGGTCGTTATGTTGGAATACTGCCCTGCGGCCTAGTCTCTGAAGGGAGGGTATCATGCTCTGCTTCAGTATGTCACAGTACATGTTGGCATTCATGGTTCCCTCAATGAACTGTAGCATCCCAGTGCCGGCAGCACTCATGCAGGCCCAGACTATGACACTCCCACCACCATGTTTGACTGTAGGCAAGACACACTTGTCTTTGTACTGCTCACCAGGTTGCCGCCACACATGCTTGACACCATCTGGACCAAATAAGTTTATCTTGGTCTCATCGGACCACAGGACATGGTTCTAGTAATCCATGTCCTGAATCTGCTCGTCTTCAGCAAACTGTTTGCAGGCTTTCTTGTGCATCATCTTTAGAAGAGGCTTCCTTCTGGGAAGACAGCCATGCAGACCAATTTAATGCAGTGTGCGGCGTATGGTCTGAGCACTGACAGGCTGATCCCCCACCCTTCAACCTCTGCCTCAATACTGGCAGCACTCATAAATCTATTTCCCAAACACAACCTCTGGATATTGCAACAAATTCTTCCTCACCTTGCGGTCTCTGCACCGAGGCCTATAAGTTATTGTGTAACGCTCCAGCTAAAATCCAGGATTTTATTCATGACTTACTTAGAGATTATATTTATTAATTTGTCTGAGTGTATCTGGATGACATCATTATTTATTTCCCTGACCTTCAAACTCACCACAATCATGTTAAACAAGTTTTGCAAACCTTATTGAAAAATCAACTTTATTATAAATTGGAAAAATTTATCTTTGATCAGACAGAAGTACAGTTTTTGGGATATAACATTTCTGCCTCAGGGTTTCAGATGGATCCTCATAAACTAGGGTCTGTTATGCAGTGGCCATTACCTAATGGATTGAAGGTCATTCAAAGGTTCATTGGATTTGCCAATTATTACAGAAGATTTCTTCTGTAATAGCCCCCATCACCAACATGATACGCAAAAGGGGTACGATATGATCTAAGGAGGCTAAAGAAGCTTTTGAACTTCTCAAACAAAGGTTTGCCTCTGCTGACATATTGATACATCCAGAAACCAGCAAACCTTTTATACTGGAGGTTGATGCCTCCAAGACAGGGGTGGGGGCTGTTCTCTCACAGAGGAAGAGCCAGGATACCCCTTGGCATCCATGTGGTTACTTCTCTAGAAAGTTGTCACATGACACCAAGGAGGGAAAATTGCTAATTGTGCCAAATTTGGACATTTCCACTTAGGGGTGTACTCACTTTTCTTGTCAAAGGTTTAGACATTAATGGCTGCGTATTGAGTTATTTTGAGTGGACAGCAAATTTACACTGTTATACTGGCTGTACACTTACTACTTTACATTGTAGCATTTCTTTAGTGTTGTCACATGAAAAGATACAATAAAATATTTACAAAAATGTGAGGGGTGAACTCACTTTTGCGAGATACTGTGTGTATATATATATATATATATATATATATATATATATATATAGTACAGGCTTTTATAGTGGCAGCAGCTAATATATACAGGGTACATGTGTTTAGAACTTAATGGGCATTGGATATACTGCAGCAGTTTCTCAAATTTTCGTTCAATGAAGTCAGAATGCTCAGAACATTAAATTAATTCGGCAGCATGTTTTAGAAAATGCTAACAGTTTGGAGATCACTCCCATTAGCAGCAATGTAATAATGTAGCTCCATATGCAAAACATGAAAAATATATTTAACATAGGATAGAAAAGTTGCAATTATAGCGGTACAAGCATGTAATAAACTTAATGAACGAACAATCGAAAACCGATATTCAGTGTTTGTTCGTCTGAAATTTCTATTCATTCCTTTATCCTTCTGACGAATTAATGAATAGACGAAATTCCAGTCCGAATTTTGGACATTAGCGAATGCCCAAGTGTTTAACTGGGCATGCGCAGGAATTTCACAGCGCTATCTAGTGTGCGCAGATGACGTGTCCCACAGGGACTTCATCTGCCCACACAAAGATGGCGACACTCAGGAGCTATGGCCGGGCACGAAATGAAGATAACAAAATAGGTAATATGGGTGGCTTAGGGGCATTTGGGGGTGAATAGGGGAAAATTAGATGTAGTGGAGTCGGGAGGGGGTTACAAAAAAACAGGATTCAGCCATGACAGTGCTACTTTAAGTGTACTGATATGGAAGAAGCAGGGTGAGATTACAGAGACAGCACTAGTAGGAACCGAGAGGGACAGAAGATGGTGGGGCTAACAAAGGACCCTGGGGACATAAAAGGGTAAGGAGAACTAATATAGAGGGTGGAGAGAACTCAAAGATGCGACCCATAAAAAAATGTGATGTTATTTTATTGAAGGGTTGGAAGGATAACGAGATTTATGTGCACTAACCATATATTCATAATTAATGGTCTACTCGATCAGAAGCAACGTCAGTTCTCTCCAATCTTTCTCCTATAAATAGGCCAGAGATTACAAAGAGGAATAGAAGAACTGGTCCTCTCTCTCTCTTTTTAAAACTTATTTTATATTCCTTGAAAATTAAGAGCAGTATAATTATAGCAATAATGTCGCATGAGATTTTGCTTGCACAAAAATGGTGATCGTTTCTGCAAATGCTTTCTGCTAAATTCCAAAAAGATCTACGATATATAAATTATTACAGTGTATGCCTGGTTATCCTGACACAGAGCTGTGTACACAGGCACCATATCTTTGGAATACATTTTCAAAACAATATACAGTATATGGCATTTTTATGAGGTTCTACCCAGAATAATGTAGGGCAATGACATTAGTGTTTCTGTTTACTGGGATGAGGGATTGAAAAACTGTCACTTTCACATGAGAATTCTGCTTCAAAATGATATGACCCATTTTTAACTTCAACCTCTTAATGACCAGGGGGTAGACAAATACATGTTTACCAGAAATTATCAGTAACATTGTTCTTCCAAATGTGGGTTAAAGAGTTAGACTAAGCACCTTAACCACTTCAGTGATTGGAAGTGGTTAAGGTTGTTGGAGTCTGTATGAACAAAAGTCAAAGCACATTGCGGCCAGGGGCGCAACTCCACCTGCAGCAGGCTGGCTAAAGTGGACTCTAGCATATTGAGTGTCTGCCGTCAGCACATATAGCATCATAGCAAGCTGGCAACAGATGACCAATAGCGGCACGCCTCCATTGTGCCACCCAAGTCCTCTCCTCAGCTCATTCTCCAGTGAGGGGGAGTGACATCAGCATGTGCGTATTGAGCATGAACGAGTACCTGTATTCACTGTAGGATTGCAGGTAAGTTTCTGCAAGGGTTATTTTATCCAAAAAATGAAGTAAACCTTTAAGGGTTAATGACCCTCTAACTGGCAGTTTGAAAGAGTTACATTAGAAGCTAAAAACATGTACTAAAAAGGTTTTTAAGAATTAATAAACCTTAACCCCTTAAGGACACATGACATGTGTGACATGTCATGATTCCCTTTTATTCCAGAAGTTTGGTCCTTAAGGGGTTAAATATCTATTATATGAACACAATGAGTATGTGGTGTATTTGAACGCCAAATAAGATGAATATATGATTTTCTGATTAGGATTCAAGTACAGCTGCGGATTTAACGTCCAGGCACAATATATGTATACACAGATTTAACTGCTCTTAAATTCTCCAGCGATGTTCAATTGAGGCTATGCAAACCTAGTTTCAGTTTTACTTGAATTGTGAGAAGAGGTTTTAGATGCGCATGCACCAATTTTGGAAGTGACTTCTCACCAATATATAAATATTAAACGCCCCCCCCAAAAAACAAACAATGTAGTTTCTGTACATTTATCTACTGCAGCAAACATTTATATATTTCCTAAACCATTGTGACAAGAAGCACATAAACCCATGCAGTTCATTACGGTGGTTATTGTGCAAGACATTTCAGAATATAGTCTAGAATCTGTCAAACTGTTTTCAAACAAAAGGACCAGAGACACTAGGATCCATACAAGAAAGGTTTGTTATAACAGTGCTTGGCATTTCCTTTTAAGTATTCTGCAGTGCCTTGATTTTTTTGACAACTGTGTCAAATTTTGTTCTAACCATTAAAATAAATTTATAAAAAACATATACCTCTGGCTTTTGTCCATTAACTTCGATTCCTTGTTTCTTCTCCTTTTTCCTCTTATACTGTTGAGCAGTTGTCTTTTCCACCGTAGACTTCTGTAAACACATTCACATTACAAGTAGTTGGAGTGAAAATGTTCTCCACTTAATATGTCTTTTTTTATTGTAGAGATAATCTGCAGAATTTTCCTAAATATTAACCTAAAATTAGTCTTATTTCTACCTATGAAATACGAACGCAGTTTAAAGTGTAACTGTCATATGTGAGTTTTCATTATTTATAATTTACACTGCATGCATCAAACTCAACTTTAAATACCAAAATGCTGAACGTGCATGCACTGCACTAAGGGATGCCAAAGTGCATATGCTCGTACAGCTCGTTCTTTGCACATTAATAAGCATGTCTGGAGCTACATGAGATGATAATATTGCCATAAACAGGAAACTTGTGGTAAGGTAAGTGTGGATTTTACTCACCTATACTGAACTACTCAGGCCAAGTAAATGCTCTCAAGAATGTATAAAAGAAACGGTCACTGCCAAAAAAAGTTGCATTTTTTACTGTTAATATTTAAAATAAATGATTTCTTACATTATAATTTATCTGTGTATTATTTTGTATTGAACACATAAGTAAATACTTATTTTCAAGCAAGGCACTGTTATTTATTTTTCCTTATGCCTCTTGTATCTTAAAGTGAAAGCAGAGTGTGTCCTTTTTTTTCCATTTTACAAATAGTGCAGATGTTAGTAGAAATTTGCCCTTTTATAAATTAACCTTGTTACACCCTTCCAGCTGTAAATTAGAAAACAGATCCTGTTACTTCCTGGTTTGGTTAGCTCAGTGGAGCTAAACTCAAGAGGCAGCAATTGCCCAGAGCACCTGCCTTGCAAAGACTTCTCATTGAGCTGCATTGGGAAATCTGTGATTGGACAGCCACAGAAAGTCTGGGCGGGGTTAGAAGTGGATAAAAAAAGATCTGCAGCTATTTTTAGATATACCCCAAATGAAAAAATACATGCTTAATCAGGGCTCGAGAAATCCAAGGCACCAGGTCGCCATGGTGACTAGAAATGGCGCCAGGGATTTGCAGCCCTTTAGCTAAAGCGGCCGGATGGTGGAACAATAGAGCTGGCCAGTATCCCTGGGCTGCATGGAGATGGCCGGTTCAGGAAGCATGGGGGCGGTTGCCCTGGGCTGCATGGAGATGGCCGGTTCAGGGAGCATGGGGGCGGCCGCCCTGGGCTGCTCAGGGAGCATGGAGGCAGCAAGCTGGAGGCAGCAAGCTGGAGCAGCGCGTAATCTTCTCTGCTCCCTCGCGCTGTATAGTGATATGACGTTATTCCGTCCCCCGACATCACTACAGGAGATGACAAGAGCTGGAGATGGATTACTGCTCCTTTGCATGCAGGACGAGAGAGCAGCCCACTGGACCCCAGGGACAGATCCACTCAACTCTCCCAAAAGTAGGGAGGCTGGGTTGATTAACATGAAAAATGTCAATTTGTGTGTGTGTGTCAGTAAGTGTGTGTGTCTGTCAGAATGTCTGCGTGTGTCTGTAAGTGTGTCAGAATGTTTGTTAGTGTGTGTGTGTGTGTATGTGTCAGAGAGTGTGTACCTTCCCCCTCAGATCACATGAGAGTGGTGTTTTTATTCCCTTTCTTTTCCATGCTGTGCCGGTTTCTCCGCGGCTTGTCCTGCCTTCATGGCTGAGATCATCACTAAACTTATGATCTCAGCAAAACTAATGCTTTCCCACAGAAAAACATTGGTAGAATATTGCACATGTAGTGGATGCATGGAATAGCCTTCCAGCTGAAGTGGTAAAGGTTAACACAGTAAAGGAGTTTAAGCATGCGTGGGATAGGCATAAGGCTATCCTAACTATAAGATAAGACTAGGGACTAATGAAAGTATTTAGAAAATTGGGCAGACTAGATGGGCCGAATGGTTCTTATCTGCCGTCACATTCTATGTTTCTATGTTTCTCTGTGGGTAACATTCAGCACCTCCATACAGAGATTGGAGATGCTGAACAAAGGTACGGCAAACTGTGCAGCACTGACACAGGACTCTCTAGTGGCCGCCTAAGTGACTGTCACTAGAGATGTTACTAGGCAGCAATGTAAACACTGCCTTTTCTCTGAAAATGTAGCGTTTACATTGAAAAGGCTTTAGGGACATGCTATAGGCACCAGAACAACTACATTAAGCTGTAGTGGTTCTGGTGACTAATGTGTCCCTTTAAGAATTGTATATTTCTCATTGTAAATTAAACTTTGCTAGTTTAAAAAAAAAAATGTTAAAAATTGGCTCCTAACTTTTTTAGCTGGCTCCTAGATTCCAAACAAATTTGTCAAGCCCTGCATTTAACACAGGTTATTATGGGTATATCTACTAAATAGTAATATGTATTTATGTGATATTTTTGTTTGTATTTGGCCAGTGGAGTATCTCTCTAATGATTATTTTCTCTTCTTACAACTTGCCTTGATAGATATTTTTTTTTCTATTAAAATATGGGTGCTGCAACTTTGTTCTCCTCTGTCTATGATTTCTGCAGTTTGCCACTTTGTAGGATTCTTTGTATTCTTAGCCACTTAGTAAGATTCTGGATTGTGGGTAAATTGGCAACCGAACCTTGGTTAATCTCTGACCTCAGCCAAGTGTGACAGGGACTATTTTTTTCTTTCATAAAATTCTAAACAATTATCTCACAGGGGCAGAGCACAGCTGTGGCAAAAAGACAAAATAAATGTGTTTCTTTCAAACACCAGAGCAGGCATAGGCAACCTTCGGCACTCCAGATGTTTTGGACTACACCTCCCATGATGCTTTGCCAGCATTATAAGAGTAAGAGCATTATGGGGGATGTAGTCCACAACATCTGGAGCGCCGAAGGTTGCCTATCCCTGCACTAGAGTATTCTTTTGAGTGGATTTTCAAGTTTGTATACCAGTATGGCACTGGTGCATCTGTGAGCTTGTGTTTTATGTCAATGAGCTTATGTATATCATTGAGATTGTTTGTCTATGAGGCTGTGTATCAATGAGCTTGTGTGTGTCAGTGAGATGGTCTGTGTCTGCATGTGAGCTTACTGTATAATTAAATGTTTTACCCTGAAAGGACCAATATTTTATATTAGAAAATATATATATATATATATATATATATATATATATATGTTAACCAATAATATGTAAGGCTATGTCTTGCCACCCCAGATAATAATATATAAAACAACACTATATATATATATATATATATATATATATATATATATATATTTATTTTATTTTTTTTATATATATATTAATCATCTAGAGTGGCAGGACATAGCCTTACATATTACATGTGACAATATATGGCCCAATGACTTATGGGGCTGGCATAGATTTTTTTTCCAGGGCTGTTTTGTATTCCCAGTCCCTGTATTCCCTGTATGTATACCACTGCTTTAAAGTGGCAACAGTACATGCAAACAAACAAACAACTTAATTCAAATGTCAACACTACACACAGATAGATACACACACACACACACACTCTTTCTCCATACAAATAACATGCTTACATTCAAACACATAAAAACTGCCCACAAATAAAACACTCCTAGTATGGTCAAACTGTAGATTCCCAGCTGTGAGAGTTGTATAAGAGATGGTAATCTACCTTTTAGCCACCCTTGTGCTGGGAGAGCAAAAACATTTCTTGCACCTGGGCCCTGTCTACATTAGTTCGGCCACTGAGTCACTATAACATTTTCTTTTGTGCCTGACGCTTGATCACAGTTATTAAATTGCTTTCCTCTAATGGAGAAATCACCGGAGGAGAAATCAGTTTTGTTTTTAATATTTCCGCAGCAGACAAAAGCTGGTGCCAAACACTACCCGGATATTAAAGAGCAAGGTACTGGCTATTCAGACACTCCTAGGACATTGTTGACAAATGATAAGTTGGACATACTGTAAATAAAGGAAACCACAAATCTCAAACTGAATAATAAGAACAAGAATGGTTTAGAAGAACAGGGAGGCCAGTGTGAGATTGATAAAGGGATTGAAAAATATTATACAGGCGGACAAAAGGGAATAGGAGGTTTTGTAAGAGAAAGGGGATGTAGAATTGGTGGCCAGGGATCTCAAGTTGAGAAAAGGAAAGAAAACACCAAAAGAAAACGTATGTGAAATATGCATCTAATATTAATTTATTCTAATTTCACTCATGACTCAATTGGGGGAGTGTGTGGAAATTTTACATCTAGGATGTCTGCAGTGCTTAGAGGAGCACTCCAAAACACCATAACCAGTACAGTACACTATTGTGTCAATATGGGTCAGTACTGACCAACCAATCTACATTATGTTCGGTTACGTCAGGTCACTAAAGCCAATATTTATTATACATAGCAAAGTATAAAAGGAATTAGATACACATGTATGCAGACGACAGTAATTTACGCAACCAAAACCTGATCTACTGCAGCTTAAGGCTGTGCTCCAAGACCAGTTCACAGAAGTAGAAAAGTAGATCACAAAACACAAACAAAACTGTCACAATTATCTTTGGAACAGTACCTAAATTACACAAATTACAAGATTCCCATCTATGCATCAAAACTAATTCAAATAGCACACTGACCACAGTCCACTCTTTCAAATACTTGGGTATGTTGTTAAATTTGCATCTAAACTTTATCCAAAACTAGGTGCCCTGTACAGAAACAAATCCTGCCTAAGCCCTACAGTAAAGGAAAAGATTGTACAGCAAATGCTGCCAATCATTGATTATGGGGATGTAGTATATGCATCTGCACCGCAAACCCACAATTACAGGACCCACCATTGTGACATGCTAATAGAACCAAACTGGCTGTCGCTGGAATCCAGACGCACCCTTCATCTTTCCAGTCTTGTGTTTAAGAGCTTTTCTGGGAAGCTCCAACCCTACCTGAGCAGAATGCTCTCCCTGGCTGTTCCCACCTCCTATAACCTCCGATCCAGTACCACCCTTTTTTTAGTCTACCTCAATACAAAAAGAAAACGGTCCGATCCTCAATTTCCTACAGAGCGCCGCAAACGACCTCCCGCACACTTTCAAATCTTCCCTAAGCCTAAAATCCTTTACGAATTCCCGCTCTACATATCTCAAAACAGAATGCACCTGTCATAATCGATTATATATTTCTTACCTGTTCTATGTTAAATTTTGTCCATACGTTGAGTATTAATATTGTTTTGTATATTATTGTACCCTATTGTAACAATGCAATGTTTTTGGACCCAGGACATACTTGAAAACGAGAGAAATCTTAATGTATCCTTCCTGGTAAAATATTTTATAAATAAATAGTGTAGATTTATCAAAGTGAAGTGATTTGAAAAATGATGGAAAATTAAAAAAAGTGGGGCAACCCCCAGAACCAGCACCACATTCTTTTGGTGACATCTATAATTGCACACCACATTTTAGGGCAAGCCCCATTGAGAAATGTCCCTCATAATGCTCATGTGGCATCAGTTCTGCTAAAAGATTGGAAACTAAACTGGAAAAACTGAAAATATGGATAGAGATTAAAGTTTTATTGTGCAATGTAGGATTTAAACAAATAAAATATTTTGAGTTTCCATCAGTATGTTAAACAGAGGTTGAAATTTTCTGAAAATTATATTATTGAAATAAGGCACTTAGGCACCAAGTCATTTGATGTACCAGGGAAAATTACACATGACAACTTTCTTTAATAAAAAAAAGAAAAAAAAACACATGAACTTTGAACAGATGAGTCTGGACATCTAGAAAGGCGTTAGACAAGGAGTTTCATGGCTTTTGTTTTCCGATCTTGGGGGAACTGGGACTTCCTGTTTTCTGTATTCAGATCAACATACTGAACGACCAGCTTCAATCCAGATCACTGGCAACTGCTTTAACCTTTTAAGATTAAATCATGTGTTAAAAAGATACCCCCCTCGTTCCCAAATGTATTATTTGTGAATAAAAATTGACGTCAGGGTTAACCGAGTGGTTAGAGATTTGCATGCTATGTGACAAGGCAAAAATCATTGCACAAGCGTAAGATTAATGTGAAAAAAAATACATCGAAAAAATAAGTCCAGCCATTCACTTTCTAAAAAGTAAGGGTTAGGTTAGACAGGCTCGGCCAATATTTGAGCATGTGGATATAAAGAGCAACAATAAATAAATATATAGTAAATACGATTTTCTTCAGGTAATGGGTTGAATTATAAAAGACGAAAATTGTACAAATGTTTGCCTGAACTAGATAAACAACTGGACCTGTTTTAGTTTTATAAATATTTGTTAAAGGGATTCTACATTGCCAGGAAAACAAACCCGTTTTTCTGGCATTATAGGCCCTGCAGTGGCCCTCAACCCCCTCCCCCCCCCTTCTCCACTCTCCCTCATGTGGTGCTGAACTGGTTAAAACTCCTTCAGTCATTTACCTGAATCCAGTTATGATGTCCCTCGGCGCTGGGTCAGGTTCCATCCACGCAATGGCCGTGCTCGCTTTATTATTTCCCCTTATGAAAGCATTATCCAATGACTTCCTATAGGGAAAAATCTGACGGTGGAGGTCCTCATGCAGAGTGTGAGGAGGTCCAGCGTTAGATAATGAACCAAAGGTCCGTTTCGATTCTGGAAGTCCCTCTAGAGGAGGAGTTAATCCTCAGAGGTAATTATTGCAGTTTCTCAGAAATAATTACCATTGTAGGGTTAAGGGACATGAGACATTGTACCCAGAACACTTCATGAGCTGAAGTGGTCTGGATGCCTACAGTGTCCCTTTAACGTTAGCAATGTTAACTATTTAATAAATGAAAAAAAGAATAAAATATAAATATATAAATACTTTGAGAATATGGAGAAAGGGAATGGCAGTAACAGCTAAGGGGTCAAATTAAGAATAAGAGTCACAACTAGTAGTTGCTTCCAAGAAGTGCAACTCCCGCCATTCTCAGGCAGGTTAATACATATATGCCCTAAAACTAAAGGAACACTCCAAACATTTACGGTACAAGGAGTGCCCTACCACCCCATGTAAGTATTCAAGCGGTTTGCTGTTTGACAACTTAGCTGGGGTTCGCCTGATCACTTTCTCTATTGAGAGGGAACAAAAAATATATTGCACATTACTCGAGAATAGGGGTGTTTCTATCAGCTGCTGCAAACAGCTACTTAGAAAGGAAAATATGGCTACAGAACCTCCGTCCATTGCTACATATTCCCAATAATTAGGTCCTGAGAGATAAAGTAATGCCTACTATGTCTCACATATATATCTTGTGATTGCACCATTAGTCTTTTTATAAAGATTCTAACTTCATGAAAAATTCTAAAGTGACAGTGCCGCTTTAATACTGTGCAGTTGCTGTAAGAATGTTTATACTGTGCTTGCGCTGTGATATCAACATTCATCAGATCTGGCTTCCATCTAATCCTCCAGTGCCCAAGCAATCCATCTTTAACTCGTTCCTTAGCTCTGGCATTTTAATTTCGATTACAGTTCTTCTTTGTCCTTGTTGTTCTCATCCCATTCCTCTCCTCTCTCCAGCAGTTTTCATGCCAGCATTGCTTTTCCTCTCAATTCAGTTATTTTCTAATGATTGTCCCAGGGGTCATTATTAGTCTAATTCTAGTTTTGGTTTCTTTCAGCCCTTGTTCCCAACTCTATTAACCCGTCCATGTTTTGGTTCTAGCATTAGTTGTGGATAATCAGTTCAATGTTACCCTGAACAGCGATCCATTGGATCCAGTCTTGCATGTGGCACATCTCTGTCCATGAGTTCACTCCAGTTATTCGGTTCTAGGTAGGTTTTTCTCTAGGTAAATAACATGTATAGGTGTAGCTGAAGTAAATTTAGTAGTCAGCTGTATCATAAAGCGTAAGACACCTATGAAAACATCTTTAATTTCAAGGAGGCTTATCAAGCAAGCATTGCAAAGGAGCAATACTGACCTGTCTGACTACATGAGTTTTAGAAGGTGCTACCATGTTCCTAAGAGTAAATGCCTCTCAGATATGAGTTTTGATAGCTCCTATCATTTTTTTCCTCCTGATAAAGGCTGACCAAGAAAACTAAGCATATATTAAAGCTAGGGGATTTAACAGAGACTGTTTATTTTTAATTTATTTTAATTCTGCCTCTTTGACTCCGACTTCTCCTTCAACCCTCATGTCCAGTCGATCTCCAAATCCTGACGCTTCCATCTCAAAAACATTGCGCGCCTTCATCCCTACTTAACGCCAAATGCGGCTAAGGTGCATGTCCATGCCACCATCCTTTCTCGCCTTGATTACTGCAATCCACTTCTCACTGATCTTACACGTTTCCAACTTGCTCCATTACAGTCTATAATGAATGCGCCGGCGAGGCTCATCTTCCTGTCTGCCCACACCTCTCATGCCTCACCCCTATGTCAGTTCCTGCATTGGCTTCCCGTAAGATATAGGGCTCAATATAAAATTCTAGTTCTCGCTTTCAAATCTCTACATAATGCTACTCCCCCACCTATCTATCCTCCCTAATACACACACATTCCGTCTAGGCCCCTACGCTCTGCCGAAGACCTGCGTCTATCCTCTGTTCATACTCCTATCTCTGATGCTCATATCCAAGACTTCTCTAGAGCTGCACCGTTCCTGTGGAACTACCTTCCCTTTTCCATTAGACGCTCACCCAGTCTCCACTCCTTCAAAAACACATTTTAAAAACTCACTTTTTCACAAAAGCATATCAATTAAACTGATAATGGCTCTAAAAAAACCCTCACTAAGTCTTCATTGAATACTATTCTACCAATCTACTTTCCTAATACTATCCTTACCTTTTGTGTCACTATACCCCACTCCCTTTAGCATCTAAACTCATTAAACAGGGCCCTCAATCCCTCTGTTCCTGTGCGTCAAACTTGTCTGGTTACAATTACATGTTTTTTTAGTCCACCCATTGTACAACAATTCGGAATTTGTTAGCGATATATATATATTATATAAAAATAATAATAATCTATGGAGGCATCCCAGTCTTGTGGGATCCTCCATAGACCTCAGTGTTATACTCTTGCGCACTATTCAGAGTACAGTACTGACGCGACTCCTGCCAAATGAATAGCTAGCTGAAGAGGACCAAAAGGAAGATAATGGCGCATGCCATGAGGGACAGCTTCTGCTTCGGGAGACATACACGGGCGTACATATATGCGAATGGCGGTCCCCCAAGGGAATGCTTGTTTGTGGTTAACCGCCAGGGGTGGTCAGTGATTACCAGGTGTTAACAATGGAGACCACGGAGAGTCTGTTCGGTAACCGAACAGAAGGGGAACAATTCCATTCGAAAGTCGTACCCTCGACTTATCCACGAGTCATAGCATATATTTTACAATTGTTGGTCAAAGAACTGCACTCGACTTATACACAAGTATATACAGTACGCAAAAGCCCCCAAAAGTAATATTTCCGCTTTCACTCCAAAATGGCAAATAATGTTATTGAGTAGGGAAACTGCTGATGTATGATCTATACACCATTTTTGGTTTAAAGTATCTCTACAACTAATAATTAAGATGATTTATGATAATTACAAAATACTTCAGCAGGACCCCTGGTTGAAATTACTTATACCTTCTGTGCTCTGAGTCACTTTTACTAAGACACCTGATCTTAGAACGGACACAGCATGATGATGCAAAATGCATCCAATTCTGCTCATAGAGAATGCATTTAGTCTGATCCAATTGTCTAGCATGCACTGTATCTCCCCAGTGCTTATGCTCCATCGGTAGCACTGTACTGGACCAATATCAACAAGGACGATGATCTAAGAGGTGTGACAGTGCAAGATTACAGGTATGTTAAGCAGAACTTTCATTTTTGTTTTCAATGTATTGTTTTTTTTTTGACCAGACACACAATCTAACTCTGAAATGTATGTCCTAGATATGGCATTATAATAAACCATGTTTTTTTAAACTGTCCACAGTGGGAGTTCTATATTTTAAATAAGAGATCTAAACCTTTTTTGGACAGATATGCAAAATATAAATAATAATAGCTAGGAAATATTCTTCAATAGTAAAATTACCTTAGTGGCCCATTCTTTATTTGGAACAGGATATATACTAAAATTATGTAAAAGAACCATCCTGCTATCAGATGAGTCTCCGTTGCAATTGGTTACATGGCTGCTAAAGGACCCAATCCACTGAAGACAATATTGTAGAGCCTGATGAATATGTTCCAGCCAATGGGTACCAAATAAAATGACATGGGGACCTAAATTTGGACCCCAGCCAAAACCATAACCGTAAACTAAACTGTGAAGCACTGTATGCTTTAATCAATTTGAAGATCAGTTTAGGTGACATGTACATCTTGGTATCTTATTAGAGCAACATTATACTGAAACAGGAAAAGAGTTACCCATTAGCCTATGCAAAATGTCAAGGCCAATTAACAAATTAAATAAAAATATGACATTGGAAAAACTGCCTTCCACTGTGTTCAGTCACCCTTTCTGATTTAATAGAGAACACGTGGTGTGGACATCTATAGGCCAGCGGTTACAAAAGAAAAAAAAATGGACGGGGGGGGGGTCGCATTTGTTTACTTCCATTAAAGGAAGCAACCAAAACACCATAACCACCATAGTAGTGTGTGTGTGTGTGTTGTAGTGGTTATGGTGCTTGGAGCATTCCTTAAAGGACAGCTTCATAATAAAACTAGCAATATGAGAAGTGTTTTCTCAGGGTTGTCATTATTATGCACAAACCCATTATTTGAAAAGAAAATTTTTTTTTTAATTAAAAAATAAATCTGTGAGGTTTGCAGACAATAGAAGTATAGTCTTACAGTGTGCCCCAGCAAGTAACACTATCTCCCTGTATGTCACACTCCAGAATTAGACTGAATGGATTAACAGACTGTAACTAAGCCAGGGTCAGCTCCCCTGATAGCACCCTGTACTGAGCGTGACTGTCACACATGGCTGCCAGGGCCAGCTCCCCTGATAGCGCCCTGTACTGAGTGTGACTGTCACACATGGCTGCCAGGGCCAGCTCCCCTGATAGCGCCCTGTACTGAGTGTGACTGTCGCCCATGGCTGCCAGGGTCAGCTCCCCTGATAGCGCCCTGCACTGAGTGTGATGGTCACCCACGGCTGCCAGGGCCAGCTCCCCTGATAGCGTCCTGTACTGAGTGTGACGGTCACCCACGGCTGCCAGGGCCAGCTCCCCTGATAGCGCCCTGTACTGAGTGTGACGGTCACCCACGGCTGCCAGGGTCAGCTCCCCTGATAGCGCCCTGTACTGAGTGTGACTGTCACCCACGGCTGCCAGGGCCAGCTCCCCTGATAGCGCCCTGTACTGAGTGTGACTGTCACCCACGGCTGCCAGGGCCAGCTCCCCTGATAGCGCCCTGTACTGAGTGTGACTGTCACCCACGGCTGCCAGGGCCAGCTCCCCTGATAGCGCCCTGTACTGAGTGTGACTGTCACCCACGGCTGCCAGGGCCAGCTCCCCTGATAGCGCCCTGTACTGAGTGTGACTGTCACCCACGGCTGCCAGGGCCAGCTCCCCTGATAGCGCCCTGTACTGAGTGTGACTGTCACCCACGGCTGCCAGGGCCAGCTCCCCTGATAGCGCCCTGTACTGAGTGTGACTGTCACCCACGGCTGCCAGGGCCAGCTCCACTGATAGCGCCCTGTACTGAGTGTGACTGTCACACACGGCTGCCAGGGCCAGCTCCACTGATAGCGCCCTGTACTGAGTGTGACTGTCACACACGGCTGCCAGGGCCAGCTCCACTGATAGCGCCCTGTACTGAGTGTGACTGTCACACACCGCTGCCAGGGCCAGCTCCCCTGATAGCGCCCTGTACTGAGTGTGACTGTCACAGACGGCTGCCAGGGCCAGCTCCCCTGATAGCGCTGTACTGAGTGTGGCTGCCAGGCCGCTCCCCTGATAGCTCTGTACTGAGTGATCACTACCCACGGCTGCCAGGGCCAGCTCTGATAGCGCCTGTACTCGAGGCGTGACTGTCACCACGGGCTGCCAGCCAGCTCCACCGATAGCTCTGTACCGAGCGTGACTGGTTACCAACGCTGCCAGGCCAGCCTCCTGATAGCGCCTGTACTGAGTGTGACTGTCACCACGGCCGCTAGGCCAGCTCCCCGATAGCGCCTCTGTACTGAAAGTGTGACTGCTCACCACGGGCTGCCAGGGCTGAAGCTCTGATGGGGCGCCCTGTACTGGAGTGCGTGACTGTCACCCACGGCTGCCAGGCCAGCTCCTGATAGCCTGTACTGAGTGTGACTGTCACACACGGCTGCCAGGGCCAGCTCCACTGATAGCGCCCTGTACTGAGTGTGACTGTCACACACGGCTGCCAGGGCCAGCTCCCCTGATAGCGCCCTGTACTGAGTGTGACTGTCACAGACGGCTGCCAGGGCCAGCTCCCCTGATAGCGCCCTGTACTGAGTGTGGCTGCCAGGGCCAGCTCCCCTGATAGCGCCCTGTACTGAGTGTGACTGTCACCCACGGCTGCCAGGGCCAGCTCCCCTGATAGCGCCCTGTACTGAGTGTGACTGTCACCCACGGCTGCCAGGGCCAGCTCCCCTGATAGCGCCCTGTACTGAGTGTGACTGTCACCCACGGCTGCCAGGGCCAGCTCCACTGATAGCGCCCTGTACTGAGTGTGACTGTCACACACGGCTGCCAGGGCCAGCTCCCCTGATAGCGCCCTGTACTGAGTGTGACTGTCACCCACGGCTGCCAGGGCCAGCTCCCCTGATAGCGCCCTGTACTGAGTGTGACTGTCACACACGGCTGCCAGGGCCAGCTCCACTGATAGCGCCCTGTACTGAGTGTGACTGTCACACACGGCTGCCAGGGCCAGCTCCACTGATAGCGCCCTGTACTGAGTGTGACTGTCACACACGGCTGCCAGGGCCAGCTCCCCTGATAGCGCCCTGTACTGAGTGTGACTGTCACAGACGGCTGCCAGGGCCAGCTCCCCTGATAGCGCCCTGTACTGAGTGTGACTGTCACCCACGGCTGCCAGGGCCAGCTCCCCTGATAGCGCCCTGTACTGAGTGTGACTGTCACCCACGGCTGCCAGGGCCAGCTCCACTGATAGCGCCCTGTACTGAGTGTGACTGTCACCCACGGCTGCCAGGGCCAGCTCCCCTGATAGCGCCCTGTACTGAGTGTGACTGTCACCCACGGCTGCCAGGGCCAGCTCCCCTGATAGCGCCCTGTACTGAGTGTGACTGTCACCCACGGCTGCCAGGGCCAGCTCCCCTGATAGCGCCCTGTACTGAGTGTGACTGTCACCCACGGCTGCCAGGGCCAGCTCCCCTGATAGCGCCCTGTACTGAGTGTGACTGTCACCCACGGCTGCCAGGGCCAGCTCCCCTGATAGCGCCCTGTACTGAGTGTGACTGTCACCCACGGCTGCCAGGGGCAGCTCCCCTGATAGCGCCCTGTACTGAGTGTGACTGTCACCCACGGCTGCCAGGGCCAGCTCCCCTGATAGCGCCCTGTACTGAGTGTGACTGTCACCCACGGCTGCCAGGGCCAGCTCCACTGATAGCGCCCTGTACTGAGTGTGACTGTCACCCATGGCCAGCTCCCCTGATAGCGCCCTGTACTGAGTGTGACTGTCACCCATGGCCGCCAGGGTCACTGAGCTGCACCATGCTGTATGTCAGCGCCATGTAGGGGGATATCAAGCTCTGCAAGCAGAGGCCATGCAGTGAGGGCAGTGAGAGCAGGACACACACTGGGATTAATACAATAAACCTGGAGTGGCCATAGACTATATATACACCCCCCACACTGCAGTGGAGAACTACAACTCCCATGATGCTTAGTCAGTGTGAAGGCTGGCAAAGCATGCTGGGAGTTGTAGTTCCCCGCTGACAGCCATGGGATTTCTTACCCTATGGCCACCCCCAGCCTGTATGAAATGACCGGCCTCCTCACCTGATTGTCCCCCCCCGGGGCTGCGGCCTTCGGCTGCTCTGTGTCCTGGGGCCCCTGGCTGTCCGGCTCCGGCCCGCTCCCCGGCCCCCCCGGCCCGCTCTCCGGCCCGCCCAGCTCCCGCTCCAGGCTGCGCTGCAGGTGGGCGATGCGGTATTTGAGTTTGTCGTTCTCGGCCCGGAGCTCCTGCAAGGCCGGGCTGGGGTCACACTGCACCGTGCCGCTCAGCCCCAGCTCCAGCAACCGGCCGATCTCAGCGCTCAAATGGCGGATCTCCTCCTCCTGGCCGGTCAGCCGCTCCGCGATCTGGGCCGCCATCATCCCCACACAGACTGAGACAGGGAGAGGGAATGGGGGAGAGAGACTGAGACAGGGAGAGAGAGGGACACTGAGACAGGGAGAGAGAGAGAGAGAGACTGACAGGGGGAGAGAGAATGGGAATGGGGGAGAGAGAGACTGAGCGAGAGAGGGAGGGAGACAGACTGACAGGGAGGGAGAGAGAGAATGGGAAGAGAGAGACAGACTGAGAGAATGGGAGAGAGAGAGACAGTGACAGCTGCTGGGCCCGAGCCTCACTGTGAGCACACTGTCAGCACCCTGCCTCTATATTAATATTAACTCCTTAATGTCACCAATATCCAAATAGGGCATTGTACACATCAACACCGACTGCATAGCTACCAAGTGTCCCTGTTTTAGGCAAAAAAATCCCCCTGTCCCTCTTTTCCAGGAGCTCCATATTGTTGTTGTGTCTGAGTGTTTAACAGAGCTCCACAGCAATAATACTCACAGTAATGTGTCTTTAAACTACAATAGATGTCATTTATGGATGGACAATTCACCCTCCCTATGTTTTTATTATATATTTTTATACCCTCCCCCCCCCCCACCTTTTGTGTTTTTGTTATGTTTAAAGTTTGTTATTTGTATCATATTTGGAAAAAATCCTCAATAACAACTATTTGTAAAGAAATCAACCTGTGTAAGTTCTTGTTTTAAATTAAATTTTAATTGCAAAAATTGTTATTATTGAGACACCTAAACTTTTCTTAGAATAGCCTCGCCCCTGGTTACACTCCAATTCAAACCTGTAGGGTTCACATGTCACTCTGGATATTTGAAATGCTGGGAGGTATGGATCACTGGTCCTTTCTTTACTCAGGCAGGTTTATTTACTAAAAGAGAATTGCCTGTAAAATCAAAGTGAATTTTAAATTTAAGACCAAAATAATAAAACTTGGAATTTGTTTTTACAGTTTGGCTATTTTGGGTTTAAATTTGAAATTGACTTTGATTTCTCACTTTAGTACATACCTCTGTAAGTCAGTTATATTTCCAGGCCAGCTATTTGGGCCTTAAATGTTAAAATTCACAACAATTCTCACTGTAGTAAATAACGCTGAGGGTGTTTGTGTTGATTCTGAGATGCCGAAATGGCTGGCACTGATTCAGTCTCACCAAAACAACTCAGGTGATGACGTGGAATGGTCTTATACCCTAACAGTATGAGCTCCTTAAAGCAAAACTATAATCCCAAAATAATATTCTTTTATAGTGACCTCTGTTCCACATCACCACACCTTTCCATTTAAAAATGTAATTCAAATATCCTTTTCTTACCTTGTTCTGAGTGCCAAGTCACCGCTGTTGCAGCAACCTGATTTGACCCTTTTCTTATCATCAAGCACAATGACGTTTTGCTGACGTTTTGTCCAATCAAATGCTTCTTACAGTGAATCATTGTTAATGAAAAGATCATGGTTAACTAACCAAATGCTTCTCATAAAGGAATAATGAATCCAATGAAGCACCAGAGGATGTTCAACGTTCTCATGCAGTGCATGAAGGCATCGAATGGCAAAGAACCAAGTCGGACTCGGTTATGAGTGCCGTAACACCATCTATTGGCTGTCATTGGGAGCAATGTTTTATATTGTGTAAGAAAAACAGCAGATACACTACACACAGACAGCATTATTGAGATGAAGTGGTCTGGGTAAGTACAGTGGTCTTTTAGTATAGGACATGAGCCCCCTGTGACAGAGCTCCTTGTACCCCGGCTGGGTACCTCTGCCAAGCTTGCTTTCTAGCTGTAACTGGGACACCTGGAGGGCTTCAGCTCCTAGCCTCGGCAGCTTGACTGGAGGTCAATCCGGAACTCTCCCACCCTAGAGCAGGGTATCATGCGATAGTTCCAAAGTGATTGAGCTCTCCTGCAGAATGTATAGCTGTCTCATCCAAACACTAGCCGAGACTTAGTGAAGGGTGAATAAGAACTGATTTTATGGAACACAACACAAGTATATATAGGAGTAACCACAATAGGGGGCCATCAAACAAAACAATACAAGTCACTCCCTGGCATCTTGGTGTCTAGGACAGAATTAGGTTAATATTCCATAACTGAATTACCTGCCTGAAACCAAGACCCATTGCACAATAGCTATTATATAATAAAGTAATTATCTTCCCTTTCTGACCTTTTATCCACATTGACACGCAAACACAATAACTAACAAACAAATACATTACACACCCTGTACCTATAATGGGAACAGAGTGACTAAAACATAAGAGCAATCTGGGGACCTACATAAAGTGTCTGTCTTCAGCCCCCTACCGTCACACCCCAATACTGTACAAGAACATGGATGGATAATAGGGAAATTCGATTTCTTCATTATGACATAAAACATTGAGTGGGAGGACTTGTTTGTTTGTCAAAATGAAAACAATATGATTAACACAAATATGAGTGCCTGAACCTATAGCTTTCTAACCCCATAACCACTTCAATAAATTGAAGTGGTTATGGTAACAATACCTCTGCATATTGCAATCACAATTTATCCATGCGTTTCAGACTCCGCAAGCAGCCAACAGGTTAAAGTGAATGCTGAGTTTAATACTAAAAAATGTACTGCAACGACCATTCCCCACGTAAATACTTGCACCCGGAGTGCAATAATATTGTCCCAGATGGTCTTTTTTAACTTATAAGAAATACAGCTGTTGGTTCAAACAGACATCTGTCCATATGTATTATCTGTACTGACAGATTACTAATGGCAGAATAATTCAACTAGGATTGTAATAATCTCTAATGTTAATCCTGTTTCATTAAGTGGAACCATTCCAAGGAATTATAGCGCTTAGAAAACAGGGTTCAAAGGGCAAGGTTGACCTGTGTATTTGTGCCTAATTGCTTTGTCTGTGTGAGACCGTTGAATAACCTTTTAGATGATACAAATCCCATTGTCCTCAAATACTAAATATGGTGATTTAGTCAAACCATATGGCCACACACCGCTGATCTGAAATGGTCATAACTCTATTTTTATAAATGGGATATGAGCTACCAGTTTGATTCACTAACACAAGAATGTGTTTTTTATTTTTTTATCATCTTCCAGATAATCAAGTTATGGGGAACCTGTAATTGGAACAGTGGATGCACAATGGCATGCCCCCCCATCATCCCGGATTAATAATAGTCCATTCATCATTCAAATCACCTAACACTACCATTTTATACATCAAGTTGATATGCAAAAGTACAATATCTATTAAAAATGCACTTTTACTGTATTTTAAATCGAGGATTCAAATACACACGTCATATCAATGTCTGCAGAGAAAGGAATTAAATATCAAAGACGCAAGGGATTCCAAACTGCAGATATGTCTGAAAACATTTAAGTAATTTTGTTATGATTTTTAAAGTTCAGTCATTAAAAATCAAAAAAAATTAGGGTTTAATGTTCTGTATTTAATGGTTTTCCCACTCTATTTAGATGATTTGAAATGCTGGTTGTTTCATTCTCACATTCTATGGTTCATATTCTATTTAAAGCAAGTACTTTCTGTTTTAGACAACTTAACTTTTCAAAGCCAGGATGGTTGTGATGCTAGATTTTTTTGTGTAGTGCTCAGTAAGTGCAAGTGTCATGTAAAATATGACACATTATATAGAATAATACGTATATTCTATACATTGTGCTAGCCAAATTGGTGGCAAATGTATAGCTTAAATGTAATTTATATATTTTGGGGATCTACATATAATATAAGTGACTGCAAAATACTTCTCAAATTGTAGGCACCTATACGCCCTCTATGTGCTGACTCTCAAAGAATTTTGGTATACCACAAGTGTCATTTGGGAGAGTAGTAGTTTTTGTCTCAGCGACCCTTTATACCATATTATATTAATAATATTAATAATTCCAATTTTGGTCTCTGAAACAGCTCTTACACTTTTTATGAATGATCAATCTCTAGCAAACGTTTCCCAATTATACATTTTACAATTTCATTATTTGGTTTAATTTGCATTTGCAGTTATTTTGAAAGCCATATGGCTTCCAGTTTCCTCTAGATCGCTATCTGCCATGTGTAATTTCATGAAATAGGTGTCCCTGGATATTAATAAAGCCCTAGGGTTCTTGCAGAACTAACATTTCAACTTTCATAAAACTGGAATGAGGACATGATAGACAGGGCCGGACTGGGGATACAAAGCAGCCCTGGAAAAAAAAAATTGTGCCAGCCCCATAAGTCACTGCGCCATATGTTGTCACGTGTAATATGTAAGGCTATGTCTTGCCATGACAGATGATTGAGTAATATATGTATATATATATATATATATATATATATATATATATGACACACACAAGCTCATTGATACACAGCCTCATAGACAAACAATCTCACTGATATACATCAGCTCATTGATATAAAAACACAAGCTCACTCACTAGCAGGCACACGCATGCAAGCAAGCTCACTCACTAGCAGACGCACACACATAGCTTAATGTAGTGGTACTGGTGTCTATAGCATGTCCCTACAGGCTTTTCAACGTAAACACTGACTTTTCAGAGAAAAGGCAGTGTTTACATTGCTTCAAAGTGACACTGCTAGTGACAGTCACTCAGACGGTCACTAGAGGTGCTTCCTGTGTCAGTGCACCTACATTCAGGGCCTCCACACTCTGTAGGTGCTGAACGTTCCCCATAGAGATACATTGATTCAACAAAAAAAACAAAAAAGTCCTTCTCGGACCAATAATGGAAGTCAGAGCTCTCCTTAAATCAAGAAGCTGTTACCCTAAATATTATATGTAATATCCCTGAATATTATTCTTTTGCTAGACTTCATCAGTTGCAGTTTAAAAATCTGTACACACTCTGATGAAACCACTTCTTCAGGCTGAGAATTCCACATTATTATTGTGTCTGTAAAGAACCCATTCCTTTTGCATTACACTGAAGTTGTTATAGTGACTACAGTGTTCTTTTAACTAAACATTAACTATGGGTTGCGCTATTTTGAAATAAAAAGTAGCTCTTTTCATTTTTTTATTGACATAGAATGCCAGGCATACAATACAAATGAAAATGACCCAAATAGTCCTATTTGTGCATCCATTGAGGTGATCAATTAGGCACTGTGAAAGTAATGCTTAGGAGGTCAGCTCTCGTATGTACTAAATAAACGTCAAAGTGCTAAATAAGAATGGATCACAATGGATAATAAAATAATACCTCTCATGTTTCTGGGAGTCATGTACTAGAAATTTGCAGAAAAAAATAGACATTAACAAATAATTGTCGGTTTCTCTGGGTTTTAGCACTGCCAATAGTTTACTAATCAAATAATCAGTTAATCAATTTCATAAGTGCACTGCATTATCAGATTACAATTATTTTAGCATATTGTCTGACCACACATTAAAAATACACAGAAATGTTCTCTTGACGCATCTTGTACAAGTGATATTTACTGTTTATGTTTTTACTAACTATCTATCACAAAGGTGCAGTTATTCGTGTTGAAATAAATATAGACAAATTAAAGTGACAGAATTGTTTGTATGCATTTTGAGAAAGCCATACAAGTCATGTAATCTGAATATAGTAAATAAGTACAGAGGGATGAAAATGGGACAAATAATTAAAGCCAAAGAAAGGGACAATAAGAGATCATTATACCATAAAATAAAACAGTCATACGTAACAAAACTCAACAGCACTGTAAACTGTAGAGAACAAGTTAAATTAAAAGTATTATGATCGTTGTATGTAAGAATTTGAGCAACACGTTTCCTTCCGCTGAGAGCACATAATTTTTTTTCCATTCAAAAATCTTGCAACAATTTGTTTACTAGACATTTCGTCGAAATAGTCTGTCTTCTGCCTCACTAGATGTTGGCGGTTGTAAGGGGCTTATTAGTCCAACGTAATCCTCTTAAGAAGCTATACGCAGTATAGCAGTGCACTTCCTAGTCTGGAGAAGGCCTTCGTTGTGGCTGAAGAATTAAATTAATTACAACGGCAGAATGCTGTTGTGTCCCGTCTGTCCACATGATGTGCATACACTGTGAAGAGCCCTGTCCGGAACATGCAGCCCTGGAATTTCGGATCTTCCAGTACAAAGTCAAGATGCTGGGTAGATCTGCTAAATCGTGGCTTCACAATATCGCACGGCCAGTGAAAAAGGAAAACGAAGAGACAAAGAAGTGGCCCTCTGTGATTCTTAACAATCACAGGGAGAAGATACTAGCTGAGTTGGATGTCAATAAAGTCCTTTCCTACCTCGTTTATGAAAAAGTTTTCTCCTTGGAGGAATATAAAGACATCTTGACTCAAGAGAGCAATGAGAAGAGGGCAGAATCTTTTCTGGATAAGCTAGTCGTGAAAGGGCCAAGTGCTTTCTGCGCTTTTTGTTCTGTTTTGGAAGAAATCTCACCCCATTTGCTTTCAGGATTCCTTCCTGACTGTAAAGGTAAGAAGAGAAATTATTATGTAAAATAAAATATTGAGGAGCAATGGGACTCGAAATACTAACTGGACCATAACGTTACATTCTAGAGAGTTGAGTTCTGGTGGACTTAATTTAGTCGATTTAATTATAGTAATAAAAGATTTGTAGTGAGGAATATCTGTAATATATGCATTAGATGATTGAATTAGCATATATTCTATATAACATACTCATAGTCATATCTATCTATACCATTAGTGGTATAATGTGAGCCCAACGTAAGTTTACAAACAGGGTTGCTATAGATAAAGTAGAACCTTCTCTGATTCACAGATCATTCATCACCACTGCTTCTCTGGATAATGAATGGGTTTATTTAAAAATATATATGTTTTCGAGAACAAAAATGTGTGTATTTATGGGAGGGATAAAAGAGAGACATGGGAAGCAATAAGGTAAGAATGCTTAAAACATAATCACGAGAGTCCAGCCAGAATGATTTGAAATTCAACCTAATGAAAAGGTTAATATAATTAATAGTATAATGCAAGTCAGTAACAAGGAAAAATAGGCTAAGGACACATGCAACGTGAATTGATAGTAAAATTCCATTGTTCATATATTTTGACGTGTTATACTTTTATTTTATTTTTTTACAGTACAGGTTTGTATGCAAAGTTCCCATTAAATAACATTGGTAAGAAGCAGGAAAGTATGTATTGTCGCATTTTCACTGGGAGAGAGAATGAAGAGAGGAGAACCTTATTTAAAAATAAAAAAAAGCTCTGTATGGTAACATAAAAAGATTGACTTTTAGCGAGTGTGTGTGGTTAAATGTGGCAAATATGTGCAATAACTGAATGTGTTGGCGTTTAATCATTATGTGCTCAGAATTACGTGTCCCATATTGCTATTGTCTACACTCCATTAATATAATCTTCTAATCTTCTGTTACAGTTACTCTAATATCTTTATGCATGTGTACATTGGTTAGATTAACAAAATCCATCTGGATGACAGTATTAGCAGGCATATATTACACCAAATAACTAGGATATATCATGTGCTATCATCTCTTTCTATATAATTGATATACATATACAGTATGATGGAGTCACTAAAGTTGTTTATTTTTTAATGAATATGTTATGCAGTCACACATTTGTTTCTTCCTGTTTGTTGCGTGTTGTATGCCTCCATCAAGGGCGAAAATTTCTGCTTGCCACTAGTGTTTGACAAATAAAAATGTATCCCTAGAATGGCGAAATTCACCCCTGTGCCATGGACTCTCCAGGATTGCAGTATCAATAATGTTTAGTGTCTAGCAGCATAGGACAAGGATGTACATTCTAATAAAATGGAACAAAATTTTTAGCATGGTATGACATTATGCCCAGTGTGGAGCACTTTAATTGCGCTTCAATAACTTGTTTTATCTGTCAACTAATAACACCAGTTGTCACCAGTCTCTGAATATACGTGTTTGAAAATCATAAAGTGATGATCTGGTGTGTGCAGATCTGTGTTTATTAATGAATTGACTATCCACGGTTTTCCAAAATTAAAGAACTAGATTGAATAAAATATACTATGTGTTGTAATTTGCCCAAACGAGCGATAGATGGCGCTGCTGCCTTACATAAAGTTTACAGCTTTTTCTTCACTAAAACTGTAGACCAAAAATCCGAATTCATTTAAATGCTTTAATCCCGTGGTAGACAGGAATGACTGCTCTCTAAGAAAAATATTGATGTGTTGGTTTTATTGCAAATATACAGCTAAAAATAGACAGCAGCAAAGTTAAATCTAGACCAATCCTCTTTAGAACTGGCCAACCTAAATCTATTTGGGATCTGATATCCACGGGTCCGTAACATGCAGCAGGTGACGGTGGGTTTGGAGTCTATGGAATGGTAAAGATACTCTTCTGGCATTCTTAGGGAAATACAGGGAAATTTTAAGTTTTCCTCAATTAGCATGTAAAAATATTACAATTTAATCATTAAAAATATGTCAATGGTAGGGTATACTACATCAGGCCTGCAACCTGTATGTGTTTTGCAGTCCTAAGCACTTAAAGAGATGCAGTAGGCACTGTAACTGCCTCGTCTCATGGAAGTGGGGACAGTGGGAATTGGGAAGCACACTGATTAGTGTGCGAACACGTGATCAATAATTGATTATAAATAAGTGTACTTACTTAAACTGTATGTAATGTATTGATATGTCCCATTTCTGAGTGTAGCTATCTCAAGATGTGAGCTTTATTTTAGACATACTGAATTATTTAAGTCTTAATCGTGTGCAGTAGTAAATATCTCAGGCAACACAAGACTAATCATTCTGCGGTCTCCATAGATACAAAACTTGGTAGTAACTAAGGGATATCATAGTGCAGTGCTATTTGCGTTCCGTGTTTAGTAACCATAGAAATCATAACTAACTTCCAAAACGTGAGCAGGGCACGGAGAAAAGCACATTAACTGATAGTGTGAGAATAGTGGATTTCATAAATGAGTATATATAGGAATGCAACATTCTGGTAATTGTGGCTGTGCAAGCTACTCATGGGTTAATTTAGATACGTGAATAATTGGAATTATTAGAAGACCTTGAAAGGTCCATTAAGGATGGACAAGAACATTATTTTTTTTGTTTTGGAAACTTAATCTAGAAAGAAGGAAAGTATCGAGAAATAATAATTAATGATTCATGAGTAATGGGAAAGAGATTAATTTTGTGAAACCTAGTGAGTGCATGTTTTTGCAGAAACCTTTACCCATGCTAAGTGCCATAGAAACACAGAGAGGGTTATTTACTAATGTGAGAATTGTCAGGAATTCAAAGTGAATTTTAGATTTTAGACCAAATTAGTGGAAATGGAAGGCGAGCGGACTTGGAGATTTATTCCAATTCATCTATTTTTGCCTTAAATTTGAAATTCACATTGAAATTACTCTGATTTACAAACAATTCTAACTTAGTACAGAACACTTTGTGTGGTAATGTGGACAATGTGTCATTCAATGACGGTGTGAAGAACGCCCCTTTGTCTGGACATTCGCCACGGGCTCCTGGAGGAGTGTGGAGGCTAGCCTCTTGCCTACTGACTATGGGCCATAGAAAAGGCTGGTAAAAAGACTTGGTTCGTGGGATGTATTTGTACCTTTCGGGAACCAAACAAGCGCAAAAACCAGGGACCACCCGGGAGCTTTTTAACCCCTATTAACACCTTGGAACGGTTCTTACCTCAGTGTTCTAATTGTTCGTCTGGGTGGCCGCAATTTGTATGAATGACCACGAGGTGGCATGAATGCAGGCAGCGGTGTTTGGTCGTCGAGTTCATGGAACTATAATCAGACACTGAAACTCCCGAACAACGCTGGATTTCCATCATCTTCTATACATCCTAGAAGAACACTGTTCGGTGGAATCGTTCATCTGGATGAGGGAAATAGGCTCCATGGTTCAAATAGAGACTGTGTTCGATATTTTATTAATTTTTATGTTACCAAAATTGACTGACCGCTAGCCCTGATTGTATGGAACTGTTTTGGGCATAGGACCATGTGTGCAGGCGGTCAAATACTTGACTTCCATGGAAATCTCGACCCTTGAACCGATATAGGTGACTTTTGGATATGTTGGTCACCCAGATCGGGTCTATCAGAGGATGTAACTTTTGTGGGGTTTTCATGTGTTTTGAAGGTCCTTTTGGGATGTTTGTAAATTATGTGTTTTTCTGTGCCTGGAGATAATTGAGTTTGTACAGTTCCTGACTCAATTATCTCCCAGGCACAGGGGAGGGATTACCCTGTTTTGTGTGGGAGTGGTATGGGCGTGTTTTCTGTGTCCCTGTACTGCAATAAAGCAGACCATTGAGTCTGGATTAAACAGATAATTTTACCCCTTCATGAACTCTAGGCTCATATTTTCCTGACCCTATAGTGCCCTGAGGGTCCCCCTCCCGTGGCGCTGAAGGGGTTAAAACCCCTTCAGTTACTTACTTTAATCCAGTGCTGGGCTCCCTCGGCACTGGTGACCTCTCCTCCCCGTCCGACGTCAGCTCCCCTGTCCGACGTTTCAATGCTTTCCTATGGACGCTCTGCGCGATGGATGCAAAATTTGGAAGACAGCCACTAGAGGCTGGATTAACCCCAAATGTAAACATAGCACTTGAGCTGAAGTGGTCTGGGTGACTATAGTGTCCCTTTAAATTTACAGAACAGGAGATGGATCCTCTATAGCTAGCATAATGGAAACAATGTGGCAGTTTGTGTCATATGCTATGTAGTAAAATACTGTAGTAGAATATTAGACACAACATGCTATACTTTAGAACTCATTATTTTATAGAATAAGCTATAGGCACAAAGTATTTAGACTCCAGAGATAATGCACTTTTAATCATATAATAGGTAGTGAATTTAACACAGAATGGAGATCAATGTCCAGTCATGATTATTTGTCATAGGAGATAAATAAATGCCAACAATCATAAACCTTCCCTAACCCTACCCCTACCCCTAACCCTACCCCATCCCTAACCCTACCTTCAACCCTACCCCCAACCCTAACCTTACCCCTAACCCTACCCCAACCCTAACCCTACCTTTAACCCTATCCCCTAAGGGGTAGGGTTAGATTCCTGTCATCATTTCCTTAATTTTCCCTCCCTCTCCTGTTTTACCACTTTTCAGAAATCCAAAGCACTTCGGCACTTCGGCAATTCGGTTAGGCACTTCTGAAATTCGGTAATTCGGTTCGGTTCGGCACTTCGGAAATTTGGCATTTCGGAAATTTGGCAATTCAGCATTTCGGCAATTCGGACATTCGGAAGCATCTTGAATGTCCGAATTGCAAAAAATTTTCCGAATTTAAATTCGGATCGAAACAAATTGTACATGTCTATTATTAACTACAGTATTTTTACTACATAGCATAGCACAAACGGCAACATTGTTTCTGTTTACAACACTCTCTGGATCTGGTGTTTTTTTTATTTCTACTTTACTGAGAACTTAAAGGGATACTATAGTCACTAAAACATCTTTAGCTTAATGAAGCAGCTTGTGTGTATAGATCATACCTCTGAAGTCTCACCTCTCAAATATCAGCCAAAAATTATTTTATATTTTATATTATCATCTATTTTATAAACTTATTGCTTATTACAATTTTTTTACTGTAGTATAATTGATATCTCCTATATCATCAGATCCTGGTCTTACATCCAGTTTTTATGGCTCTGCTTTTGTTTGTATGTACACTGAACAAAATTATAAATGCAACACATTTTAGAGTGGCCTTTTATTGTGGCCAGCCTAAGGCACACCTGTGCAATAATCATGCTGTCTAATTAGCATCCTGATATGCCTCACCTGTGAGATGGATGGATTATCTCAGCAAAGGAGAAGTGCACACTAACACAGATTTGGACAGATTGGTGAACAATATTTGAGAGAAATAGGCCTTTTGTGTACATAGAAAAAGTCTTAGATCTTTGAGTTCAGCTCATGAAAAATGAGGGCAGAAACAAAAGTGTAACGTTTATAATTTTGTTCAGTGTATAAAAAGTGTTGTGTTCTAAAAAGTGGTCTAAAGTACTTAATATTTTAAAGAACTATAAAAATGAATATATTTTCTTTTATTATTTTGGGTCAGTTATATTTGTAAGTTTTTAAATTTTGTTATTTTTTATTCATTCATGATCTATTCAATGCATTAAAAAGTGTTCAATTCCAGGTGGAATGTAATCTTTTAATTTTGATGAAATATATATATATATATATATATATATATATATGTTTTATTAGAAACCACAGACACCAAGTAAACGGGTGGGACAGATTCAGTTCAGTGACATCTTCCTGAGCTTTTGGGCTTCCTTCTTGCTTAAAATTGTTAACGTGGTCTAGGAAGGCCTTCAAAAACTATCTTTCAGATAACGAATTTCACTTTGTTTAATCACATCTCTCGCTCGGATATTCATATTCAACCTGACATTAATTTACCCTGGTGTCACAATGATTTCATAAGAGATTTTTTTTTCCCCATACAGCCGTAGCTGCTGAACACAAAGCCATCAGCACAATGCACTGTCTTTAGAGTGAGGCATCACATCAGACCGCACAAAACCTCTTAATGCATGTGAGATTCTAAAGAGCAATTCTTGTTGTTCTCCAGATCAGATGCACAAAGCCTTACCAGACTTCTTGACAGAAGACAAGAGGATGAGGCCTGCTTTTGAGCTGCAGGGACATGACGAAACCGAGTGCAATGACATGGAAGGCAGTCCTGATTTGGAGGATCCAATGCAAGAATCGTTAGAGGAATACAGGTCAATCATTAAATGTTTGTCTATCTCTTCATTTTTATAATATATATATGTAGCTGTATGTATGTTTAAATCATTTGAGAGGGGTGTAGAACTGCGAACTAATAGATGCTGTTGGTCTACAACTTCCATAATGATCTGCAAGCCAGTGGTGGGCATGGAACTATGGATTTGTAGTTCGGTAATATATGGGACTGGGCCACAGTTTAACATCCATGTTGTATTGCAGCCTGGTACTTTGTAAAATGTATTCAGGGCCGGCGCTACCTGTTAGACGGACTAGGGCGCCCCTTGGGAAGGGGCGCGCGCCAGGAGCGCCGGCCCCCCTCATGCTGCAGCCGCCCGAGCGCTCTGTAGAGAGCCTCAGGCGGCTGCAGCTTTGCCCGGGCGGTGCGTCCATGAGGGCGCACCACACGGCGCAGCATGAGGAGAGGGGCTGACAGGAGGGAAGCGCTCAGCCCTCCCTCCTGTCACTCCCTCACTGTAGCGTGCCGAGCCCTCTATTGGTCCACGGGTGTACCCGCCGATTAACAGGAAGTGCACACTGAGTGTTCACTTTTTTAGTCCGGCTGGGTAAGGAAACAAAAGCTACCTGTACCCGCGGACCAATTGAGGGCTAGGCCACGCTACAACAATGGTAGATAAGGGGAACTGACGGGTGGAACTGACAGGAAGGGCGTGGAATTGACAGGGAAGGGGAATTGACAGGAACTGAGGGGGTGGAATTGACAGGAAAGGGGAACTGAAAGGAAGGGGGAACTGACAGGAAGGGGAACAAATTGAAAGGGGGGAATACATTGAAATGGAGGGTAGGGAAAAATTAAAGGGGGGAACAAATGAAAGGAGGGGGGATAAATTGACAGGAGGGGATAAATGACAGGAGGAGGGATAAATTGACAGGGGATAAATTGACAGGGGGATAAATTGACAGGGAGAGTGGGGGGAATAAATTGAAAGGGAGGGTGGGGAATAAATTGAAAGGGGGGGGAATAAATTGACAGGGGGATAAATTGAAAGGGAGGGTGGGGGGAATAAATTGACAGGGAGGGGGGAATAAATTGAAAGGGAGGGAATAAATTGAAAGGGAAGGGAAAGAAATTCACAGGGTGGGTGGGAAGAAATTGACAGGGAGGGGAATTGACGGGGGAGGGAGGGAGAATGAGAGTGGGGAGGGGAGAAGAGAGTGACAACGGGGGAGAAGAGAGTGACAAGGGAGGGGGAAGAAGAGAGGGACAAGCAGGGGAGAAGAGAGGGACAAGGGAGGGGGAGAAGAGAGGGACAAGGGGGGGAGAAGAGAGTGACAAGGGAGGGAGGGGGGGGAGAAGAGATTGACATCCATCACACACACACAATGCACCCCTTACACACAAAGACAATGCACCGCTTGCACACAGAAAAACACACAATGCATTACACACACAGACACACACACAAGCAATGCAACCCTTACACACAATGCATCCCTTACACACACAGAAACACACAATGCATTCCTTACACACACTCAATGCACCCCTTACACACACTCAATGCACCCCTTACAGACGCACACACTGCATCCCGTACATACACAGAAACACACCTTGCAGCCCTTACACATACAAACACAGATTCACACAATGCATTCCTTACACACATATCAGGACATCCCCCTACTCCACCCCCTGTGAACAAACTCATTGGTGGAACATGAAGGTGGACCCTGGGACCCAGACCTTGAGCTGTGTAAAGGGCCTTAAAAAAATGGAGCTGCTTCCCGTTCTCCCAGAACATTGATTTTTGTGACCACAGTTACAAACCGCCTCCAGAGAGCCTGTTCTACACCAGACCAGTGGAGCCAGACTGCAGCTAGAGCCCATCATCATCCTCATCTGGTTGTAAGTAGGCAATCTAGTATATTATTCGTGGCACTAATCTCTAGTCCCCAGAACCACTTCAGCTTAATGTAGTGGTTCTGATGTCCATAGCCTGTCCCTGCAGGCCTTTTAATGTAAACACGGCGGCACTGCAGCACTGGCGTTAGTTAACATGGCAGATCATATGGGTGGGGCATTGTGATGTCACTGGGAGTGGGTGGGGGGGGGGGGCTATACTTTTGCCTAGGGCGGCAAAAATCCTTTCCCTGAATGTATTACCCAACAAATGTTAACAAATACATCTGTTTGATATATTGGGTATAGAAAAAGACTTTGTGCAAGATATATAATATGATGATCTGCTTTTTTAGCCAACATAGGGCTTGTTCTTCATCTTGTTGGTAAATACTGTTGTAAGCTGTCACTATTGACAACAAACATTTCTTACCAGCTGTCCGCTTACACAATCTGCTTGTAAAGGTTCCAACCAGTAATAAAAGATCTCCCTCACTTACTAGATATGCAGAATAAATAATGGTTCAAGCACTCCGGGATAACAAAAATAGCAGCTTTATTGGGGCAAAAGCAGCAACGTTTCAACCCTACTGGGTTTTTAATCAAGCTTGAGAAGACCTAGTAGGGTTGAAACGTTGCTGCTTTTGCCCCAATTAAGCTGCTATTTTTGTTATCCCAGAGTGCCTGAACCGTTATTTATTCTGCATATCTTGGAAGGGAGGCCTGGCCAGCCCTGGATTCAGAGCACCTGGATTATTTGGTGAGTGCGGTATCCAGTACGTCTCCTTCACTTACTAGCCCACGCTAACACATTGGGGCTCAGAGAGCTTGTGGTCTGTCCCTCCAGCTTGTGCAGACAAGGAAAATCTGTAATGTGGATCACTGACAGACACACAGACACACACACTCACTGATTTGACACACTCTGAAACATGCACACACAATAACTCAGACATTCACTGACAGACACACACACTCACTGATTTGACACACTCTGAAACATGCACACACAATAACTCAGACATTCACTGACAGACACACACACTCACTGATTTGACACACTCTGAAACATGCACACACAATAACTCAGACATTCACTGACAGACACACACACTCACTGATTTGACACACTCTGAAACATGCACACACAATAACTCAGACATTCACTGACAGACACACACACTCACTGATTTGACACACTCTGAAACATGCACACACAATAACTCAGACATTCACTGACAGACACACACACTCACTGATTTGACACACTCTGAAACATGCACACACAATAACTCAGACATTCACTGACAGACACACACACTCACGGATTTGACACACTCTGACAGACACACACTCACTGTTTTGACACACTCTGAAACACACACAATCACTCAGACACACACTGACAGACACTGAAACACTCACTGACAGACAAACACACACACATTCATAAAAGGGGGAATACTTCCTGCTTGATAGAGGCTCAGAGAGAAGCTAAAACGTTGTCTACACTTACTTGTTCAAAATAAAAAGACCGCGAGACTGCCTTTTAGCAGAAACCTCAGGTGTGCTTGGATGCTTTTTTTCTTCTACACACACACACACTCATTGACAGACAGACAGACACACACACACAATGATACTAACACATAGTTTCCCCCAACACTCACAAATAGTTTTTTTCACATTTTATTTTAATTTAAATCCACCCAATATGGGTGATTTTTTACCTGGGGTCCTGTGGGGCTGCTGGGATGGCTGTTGGCCAGGCTGTTGACAGGCAGGCAACACGCAAGTAGGCAGCGAGGGAGCTGTGATCTTCTTCATCAGCTCCCTTACATACTGTTTAGTGATGCTGGGAGCTGGAGTGACGTCATATTCCGGTTCCTGGCATCACTGTAGGGAAGAGCAGGAAGAGCCCACAGATAAGTGCTCCCCCACTACTGACCTGTAATACAACTGGCTGCCTGCCTCGAGAGGGCTCAAAGGTGGCCATCTGTCCAGCTATTGGGCCCCAAAGGACACAAGGTTAACAAGACATCTGCCGGGGCATTTGTGGACGCCTAAGGCAAATGTCTTGTTAGCCTTGCGGTAAATACATGGTGGCCTGCAATTGTATCAGAACATCGCCAGGTTCCATTCTGCAGTGCCAGACCAGAGGTGGAGACCACAAGATCCACGAGGGAAAGGCATATCCCCTCTCTTGGTAAGCAAGAAGGATGGTGAAATGAACGTTAAAGGGACACTATAGTCAACTGAACAACTTCAGCTTAATGAGGTTGTTCAGGTGAGAACTATAGCTCCCTGCAGCCATTCTCATGTAAACACTGTATTTTCTGAGAAAATACAGTGTTTACATTGAAAGCTAGGAACACCTCCAGTTGCAGTCACTCAGAGTGAACCAGAGGGACTTCTGAGTTGATGGAGGCATAATATGCCTCCATCCACTCAGATCTGCTGTGCACGAGCATCCTGTGATTCAGTATTTCCTCCCACTGCATGCAGACACTGAACTTTCCTCATAGAGATTCATTGATTCAATTCCTCTCTATGAGGAGATGCTGATTGGCCAGGGCTGTGTTTGAATCATGCTGGCTCTGCCCCGATCTACCTCCTTGTCAGTCTCAGCCAATCCTATGGGGAAGCACTGTGATTGGATCAGGCTATCACATGTCAGCAGACTGCTTGTTTTTCCTGAGTCTCAGCATGCAGATTTACAGCTTCTGGCTTGAGTACAGTAAGATTTTTACTATATTTATGGAGGCATGAGGGGCCCAGGGGGGCTAGATGGTCGTGTTAACACTATAGGGTTAGGAATACATGTAGTTGCACTGGTGACTATAGTGTCCCTTTAATTTAAAAATTATTATATATATTTTTTAAAGTGGTATTGTTACTCCCCTGTAAAATGAGTATTTAAATTAATTTAAAAATCTCATGAATCTCAATGAAAAACTCATACTGAATGTGTTGGAATTACACTGAAATTCCAACCCGTCAAGAAGTGTCAATCCCCGAATCACGCAAGGAAAATGGATCTATCTATAGGGTCTCTCATCTGAACCAATGCCTTCACATGCGCGTGATGTTGAGCCCACGGGGGACAGGTTCAGGTAAGTTGAACTCACCTTTGACTACCCCCCTCCAGCCACCAGACCCCCATGGCAATGTCATTGTCGGGGCAAGGATCTTTGTAATTATAATTGTAACGGGGTTTTGGGGGTGCCCCCTAGTGTCTTTGGGGTCCCCAAACCTAGTTAACTCACTATGCCTGACAGGCGGATCCTGAGCCTCCGCTATCTGGGAGCTGGGGTACATGTCTGCGGCAGTGCCTCCACCCAGTGGAGCATCCGGGGTAGGGATGTGGGGTCCCACTGGGAACATACTTGGTGCAATGAGACTG